TCTAAAAACTGTTTTAAAAACATAGCTTCTTTTGAAGCCTCGCTTAGTGCTATGTACTCCGCCTCTGTGGAGGACAAAGCTACACATGTTTGTTTTTGACAGCACCAGGATACAGTATTATTATTAACTTTAAAGATATATCCTGTGAAGGATTTGCAATCTACATCAGATGCCCAATCCGCATCTGTATACCCCGTTATATTAACCTTTTAAATATCGGAGCACACGTTTTGCTGCGACCCAGTGCTCAGATAAGTAACACTATATGCTAAGTCAGGTCTACTCATTTGACATAAATACATTATTGAGCCAATTAGCTCCCTGTATGGATATTTGTCGTCACAAATTGTGTTACTAGGTGTAAGTTTTAAATTAGTTTCTAAGGGAGTCTTGACAGGTTTGCAGTCAGTCATCCCAAACTTATCTAAGACTCTAAAAATATATTGCTCTTGACTTAGAGACAGCTCGCGTTTGACTTTGTCATGTGTGATTTGAACACCCAAAGCATTATTAAGTTTCCCTAAATCTTTGATCTTAAATGCTTCTGACAATGCATTTTTAAGTGAAATAGCCATATTTTGGTCATTGTACATTATGAAAAAATCGTCGACATATAACGAAATAAACAAAATGCTCTCTCCCGCCCGTTTCACAAAAATGCATTGTTCAGTATTACACTGCCTATATTGAAGAGACAATAAAACGTCTTTTACCCTAGTAAACCATGCACGGGAAGATTGCTTAAGCCCGTAGATAGCTTTTTTGAGCAAACATACTTTGGACTCCTCGCCTGGTTTTATAAATCCACTTGGCTGTGCCATGTAGATTTCCTCCATCAATTCTCCGTTAAGAAACGCCGTTTGAACATCTAAGTGTTCAATATCAAAATTAAGTTGAACAGCAATAGAAAAAAGAACTCTTAACGAAGTGTACCGAACTACAGGAGAAAATACCTCAGAGTAATCCTCACCTTTACATTGTGTGTACCCCTTGGCAACAAGACGAGCGCGATAGCGCGAGATCTTACCTTCAGCGTCTCGTTTGATTTTAAAAATCCATTTGTTCTGTACAATATTTTTGTTCGGCGGTCGATCGACTAATACCCACGTTTCGTGTTGATGGAAAGCATCCAATTCGGCTTGCATAGCCTCTTTCCATTGCTTAGCATCAGGCGAGCTGAGAGCTTCTTTCAACGTCGTAGGTTCTAGGTGATCGCCACAAAAATTTATAATTGAATCACCATACCTCAATGGTTTGTGATGCTGCCTTGCAGGATATCTTCTATGAACTTCCTCCTCAGTAGGACTATCCGTGGTTGATTCGATTAGAGTTGAACTTCCAGTACCTCTATTATTACTGCTGAGCACAGTAGTACCTGGATCTCCAGCACCATCAACATTATCCAGGGGTGCCATTCCGGAACTCTCATTCTCAACAGTTATACTTTCCGTGTCCTCTAAATAAGGGAAAGATAATATTTGCTCATGAGTTGAAGAGTTTTGGAAAGAGAATTGATTTTCAATGAATTTTACATCCCTAGATAAAGTGATTTTATTAGTAGTTGGTTAGTCTAATAATCTGTATGCTTTTGAACAATCATCATATCCCACGAACATATATTTTTTGCTTTTTGGTTCTAGCTTATGTCGTTTATTTTTAATAATATGTGCATAGGCATCACAACCATAAACTTTTAAATTACTATAATCAACAGGTTTGTTAGTCCAGACCTGCTCAGGTACAGTATTGGCTAACTTTTTGGTTGGTGACCTGTTTATTAAATAAACTGAAGTATGAGCTGCTTCAGCCCAATACTTCATATCGCATCCGGATTCGCACAACATACACCTAACTTTGTCCACGATTGTGCGATTCATTCGCTCTGCGACTCCATTTTGTTGGGGAGTATAGGCTACAGTTAACTGGTGACAGATACCTTTTTGCTTAAAATAATTTTTCAAATCCTGATTGCAATAGTCCCCAGCATTATCAGAACGAATAACTTTAACTTTACGTGCACATTGATTTTCAACCATAGTAATGAATTCTTTTATTATAGAAGTAACCTCAAATTTATTTTTTAAAAAGTAAATAATGACCTTTCTACTATAATCATCGATGAACGTCAGAAAATATCTCTTACCTCCAACAGACTGTACTGGTAATGGTCCGCATAGATCGGTGTGAATCAAATCCAAATTTTCTTTAGCCAACTCTTTTGCAGGATTTGAAGGAAAAGAATCCCTTGCATGCTTACCTTGAATACAAATTTCACAAGTGATATTTGATTGTTTATCTGTAAAATTAATAGTGCCCGCGTAATCTTTTAGTTTAATAAGGCTTTGTGTGTTCAAATGACCCATTCGCTTATGCCAAAGATCAATATTATTGATCTGAGCAATATTTACAGTATCATGAAAATTGTCAAGTTGATAGGCTGCTCCTAGCTCAGAGCCCGTAACGGCAATTTGGCCAGTTACATTACAACTACTACCGTAAAAAATTCTACAACCTTGCGAATCAAATACAGTCACGAAACCTTTTTTAACTAATTCAAAAACAGATATCAAATTTACAGAAAGATTAGGTACATACATTACGTCAGAAATTCTATTTATCTCATTATTTATAACTTTAATATCTACATTACCAAGACCTGTACATTTTAGCTGTTCACCGTTAGCTACAGTTAACGTTTTTGGAGATATTTCCTTAAAGTCCTTTATCCAATCCTTACGTCCAGTCATATGTTGAGTTGCTCCGGAATCGATATACCATATATCATGGCTATTGTTACCTAAACTCAATGCTATCAAAGATTTCGGGTTCTCGTTCTTTGGTTCTGAATTTCTTTTATTTTTGAACCAACATTCTTTCTTTGTATGTCCAGATTTCTTGCAATTCCAACACCACTTTTTGTTCTTGTTATTATTGTTATTCTCTTTAGGTTTTTGTTTGTTTCCAGAATATAAGCACGTTACAGTATCTTTGTCATCACCATTCCATTTTGTGTCTTGTAAAAGTTTTGTTTTTACCAAGTCACTAGTGATTTCAACTCCTGAATGTTCTAGTGCCATTACCATCGGGTCATATTCCGAAGTCAATCCCTTGAGCATAACTACGCCTAGAAACTCATCATCTACCGGTTTGCCTATAGCATTTAGTTGTTGACCAATAGAAATGGTATCATTGACATATTCATGCATGGTGCTGTAATCCGTTAATTTTACGGAACATAATTTGCTAAGAAGTCGTAGACGTCTGTTTAGACCCTTATCATCAAATATTTTTTCTAAAGTGTCCCATGCTTCTTTAGCTAATGTAATGTTCATTAGATGTGGATATATGGACTTGTCGACAGAAAGATTGATTTTTGCTAACGCCTTCTCGTCTTTCCTAGATCGAACATCCACAGGAGTTGAATCTCCCTCTTTGTATCCACTAACACATTGCCAAAGATTATCATGTATCAAACTATTCTTCATAATAAATCGCCAGACATTGTAATTTTCCCTACCTCGCAGTTTGTCAACTGAAGATATACCCGACGAGTTGCTTTCTTTATCCATTATGAGATTAGTTCACTATAGAATATTCACTGTTATGATATTTATATGCTTATTTTCTTATTATTCCCATAACCTTTTGTAAAATTAAATTTAAATATTACCGAAAATACCAAGCCACATCAGTCAGTGAGATGACAAGAGAATATATTTCAAACTTTCAAAAGTTGAGTTGACAATTAAAGTTTACGAACTATAGACATAGCATAGAAACTTATTTCTACAACATCAAAAGTGTTGTACTATACATCCAATTTGAATAAAGATATATTGATTTCTGATTTCTGATATTCACTAAACAGGAGATATAATAAAATGTTTCCACTTTTGACTTAGACTTATACTTGTTTTAGATCTAAAGCATATAAAAATTTAAAAAATACTAAATTTTATTGATTAAAGCTAAGTAGGTAGATGCCAACTAAAGTGTTAGGTCAGATGAAAGATTGCGGTATGCCTTATAAATACCCATTCAGCATAGATATTCTGTAAGATGCAATATCACTTACGATCTCATTTATTCGGATTTCTGACAAATGTCAAACATCTAATACTGGCTGCTTCTACAGACATAGCGACATTTTGCCGTGTAATGGCGTAATGCAAACTAATGTCTAAAATGGCAGCTACCGAAATCGAAGGTGAGATTTCATTTTACAGAATCACCCTACACTTAGGTATAATTTTAACATTTACTCATAATCATGTTTTAACAGGTGTACACCGATACATTAATAAATACGATTAGTCAAATAATAAACAAAAATGACATGCCTAGAACATCCCGCGTTCCTTACCTGTACTTCTTCAAAACCCACAATGTTATTTAGCACTGTATAATTACATCAAGAGTACTATAGAAGATTTTGAATGATTCTACAGGAAGATTTAAAGATAACTACTTTTAGTGTTGGCTGTATGGCACATTTTGTCGTCTTTGCCATTTCCGTTTAATAAAGGGAGAGAACAGAACCAAAAGAAAAAAAAAGAGGAGTTTTTGGCGGGATTTCATCGAGTGCGGTTGGCGTCTTATTTTAATTATTCTTAAATTCGTTCATAGTGGATATTGTGAAACAAATTTGGTGTGATTTGTGTTACAACCGTCTGCGCAACTGAATAATTAGTGGAATCCTTAAAATATACGCTATTCCGGTCAAGTGGATGTAAGAACTTTGTTGTAGTGTTGACTACCACACAGAAGCTTATCGGAACAGCCAACTCGATACATTTCATGCCAAACACTCCAAGTAACATTAGAACGAGACACACCAACATTCTAATGTAAAAAAAGAAGATTAAAATAACTTAAGACTTGGCTGTATGGGCATTGTTCCCTTTGCCTTCCCCGAAAAGAGAGAATCTTAAATAAAAAAAAAATAAAAATGACACATTCCGTTGGTTTCTTCATTCAGTTCTCTTCCTTCTTCTATTATATCATAGCTCGGAAGCTTCCTCCATTGTGTCAGGGAACTTGGAGCCCAGCGTTTCTGGTGTGACGAAGACAAGAGCACCAGACAGAAGTGCAAAACTGGCAAACAACACGAAGGGTAATTTCACCCAAACAGCAGAACCCTGAAATATGTAAGTTTTTGATTTAGGCAAAGACTGATTATGACATGAAAAGGCAATTCTTAAAACGGTATCACTAGGACATCGGCTTTAACACGCTTCGCGGAAACGGTATTCATAATGCGATTCAAATAAGAATAGGAAAGCCAATGACCTCCATCTGTAAAAAGGCGCTTGAAAAGTACGGTTTGCAAAAAAATCTCGGAACACTTTTTTTAGCACTCGGCTGATTCTAGAATAAAAGCCAATCATTTTTAAACAAACAATAACAAATGTTGATAATTAATATTAGTTGCTGTTTTTTTTTCATTTATTGAGCTTTGGCTATGAATGGTTGATAACCTAAATCTTCAATGTCACTTTATGTTGCGTTCAAAAACTTGATTTAAAACTTTCGTTAACATATCGAGCCCTTACCGCCAAATTATCGTAAGCGACACTCGCCAAATTATCGTAAGCGACACTTTTGTCGAAATGCGTTTTTTGTGGAAACTAATATTTTTAACCGTAACGGACCCATCTCTGTTGATATTTCCCTCTATTCTTCCCTCTATTATATTATAACGGTGTTCTTTTGGAGGGAAATATCAACAGAGATGGGTCCGTTACGGTTTATAATATTAGTTTCCACAAAAAACGCATTTCGACAAAAGTGTCGCTTACGATAATTTGGCGGTAAGGGCTCGATATATAAGTTGCATTTTCGTATATGACCTGCATGATTATTCATAACTTCTCCGGCGGTAATGCAGAGATGAGCGAAATTGAAGAGCCAGATTCTGATAATGTTTTTTATCACACAGTCTTAATAAAGAAATACTATTAAAAATCGGTTTTGTTCTTTCTCAACCTTAGTAAATTAATTTTATTCAAAAATTAGATGTTTTGTCTCACTTAATCTTCGTTAGTAAGTTTTATTAAATAGCAACATTTTTTTGCTCACTCTACTCTACTCTACACTATTTGGTTTGATTGACAGCTTTGCCGTCAAAATATGGCGCCCATTCGGTCCTATTCTTAGGTGAATCGCATTATTTCTTTTAATTTTACTTGCAAAGTAAACATTACTTATTATTCTGAAAGTAAAGTTAAGTATGTACTGATAGACTTAAAAAGGTAGGTGAAAAAATCCCATAGGTACTGTTACATAATTTGTCTTAAAAAAATTATCATAAATAGTTTTTTTTTAATCCACATTATTTTTAAAAAGAATGATGGACAAAGCACGAAAGAACTAAATTCTACAATTCTAGAAATATTTTGTTATAGAAAAAATAACGGAATCACGTCACGGTGTGCGTAATTGAATTACTCCGAAACGGCTCGACCGATTTTCGTGAAATTTTATATGCATATTCAGTAGGTCTGAGAATCGGACAACATCTATTTTTTAATCCCCCTAAATGTTAAGGGTGGTCCACACTTTAATTTTTGTTTTGTTTATTATTATCATTAACACCCACCAAGCCGCACTGGGCCTGCGTGGTGGGTCATGGCCCAATCTCCCTATTCCATCCATAGGGAAGGCCTGTGCCCCAGCAGTGGGGACATTAATAGGCTGATGATGATTATGTTCGAAATAAATTAATTTACGACATCATCGCGGAGTGGTTTGTTCGGGACGGGAGTAACTTAAAATAACTATTTGTGTTCGCCCATTGGAAAACTCGAGATTTAAAGACTTTTTAGACGATGGAATTTTCGAGTACGCGGAGATTTTATTACATTCAAATAAAAGCAACTTTAGAGGGAGGCAGTGCTTTACCTACTTATAAAACTGTATTAAATTATAGACTAGCGGTCCGCCCTCGCTTCGGTGTAGGGCTGAAGTGTAGACTACAGTTTTTGTTCTCAGGCTTGTATTATACACAATGGCATTCATCTATGATTCTTCTTATACCTGTGTGGCAACATTATATTATTTTCCACATATACTAATAAATAAACATAATATACATAATTATAAATAACATACATATCATATATAACAAAATATTATACATATTAAATATACAGAATTATATTATATATAAACAAATATTCACAAAAACATTAAATTAACCATATTAAATATCTATTTATAATGACGTGCCAATTTGTCATAAGTTCGGAATGGACACGCGCACTCTAAACGAGTTCCTAGTTAAATTCTTTTGTTCGCGTAACCGACTCCTGCGCCGGCCGTTCAGTAGCCGCGCGCACCAGTCTGTATCACGATCCCACGGCGAATGCATGACTGTTTGCGCTCCGTTCGGACTACTCAAACCTATTGTTATTGCGTATGTTCTACATTATAAATAGTTGTAAGACCTGCCATTCATTATTCCAGTGTGTTACTAGCCCTTCCGTGACTGTAAAAATTGGATTAGGTAAATTAAAGTGAATATTCAAAGTGACGTGTTTGAATTGAACTAAGACTCGACGTCTACCTATATTTCATCTGCTACCTAACCATAGTGGTGACCCTATTCGGATACAGTTATCAACGCTGGTGATAAAAGTACGTAATATTTTACTAAATCAAGAATACACGTACTAAGATGGCGAACGGCAGTGGCGATGTCGAACGTGACGTCAGTGAGCGCATTTCCACAACACCATCCGACATTTTTAAAGTCGGAGTCCGAATTCCACCTTTTTGGCCGGAGGAACCGGAAATATGGTTTTCGCAAATTGAGGGACAGTTCCAGATCGCCGGAATTACTAACGACCTGACGAAATTTCATTACGTCATCGGACAACTGGATCGTCAATTTTTATGCGAGGTCAAAGACATTATTGCGAAACCTCCATCCAGTGACCGTTACGAAAAATTGAAGACGGAGCTTATTAAACGCCTTAGCGCCTCCAAGGAGAAGAAAGTGCAACAGCTTCTCATGCACGAAGAACTTGGGGACCGCAAACCTTCACAGTTTCTCCGTCATCTCCAAAGCCTCGCTGGTCACCAGATTACGGACGATTTTCTTCGTACAATTTGGACAAGCCGCCTTCCCGGAAACATCCAGACTGTCCTGGCTGCACAACCGACCGCAGAACTGGAGACCCTTGCCGATCTCGCCGACCGCATCCACGATATCGTCCCTTCAACACCACAAGTTGCATCGACAAGTCACGACTATGGATCGAGAATGGATGCCATGGCTAGAGAAATCTCGGAATTGCGTCGCCTGATCAAAAATATGCCTACCGGAGATAGAAGACCGCGATCCCGCAGTCGTCGTCGTGATCGCCGCGACCAGTCAACTACCAGGTCCCAATCTTCGTACCGGAAGTACCCTACCTGCTGGTACCACTCAAAACACGGAGACAAGGCTCACAAATGTATCAAACCTTGTGATTTCGAGAAGTCGGGAAACGCAAAGGGCAGTCGGTAATGGCGACAGCTGATAGCCCAACCTCTGGTCGCCTGTTCGTCACCGACAGAAGGTCGAAGATACAATTTTTGATAGATACTGGCAGCGATCTATGTGTCTTCCCCCGGACTCTGTTACGTGAGCGTCGTGCACCTACTTCCTACAAGCTTTGCGCGGCCAACGGGACGACCATCGACACCTACGGTTACTACCATTTAAATTTAGATTTTAATTTACGTAGATCTTACCCTTGGCGCTTTATTGTTGCTAATGTCACAAAGCCTATTGTAGGAGTAGATTTCCTAGCTTTTTATAATTTAGTTGTCGATTGTAGAAATCAAAAGCTTATAGACAATACCACTAGCCTTTCTGCTTCTGCTTTGTTTGCACCTTTTAATTGTGTGAGTTCTGTAAAAATATTGACCGGTGAATCTCGCTTTCATAGCTTGCTTAATCAGGAATTTCCTGATATAACGCGACCAGCTGGCACTCACCGTAACATAACACACCACACACAACACCACATTCGTACCACACCAGGTCCGCCTGTTACAAGCACACCAAGACGACTGGCTCCAGATAAGCTGAAAGTGGCTAAGCAAGAATTTGAGGCCATGCTTGCTGATGGTACAGCGAGACCCTCTGATAGTCCCTGGTCGTCACCTCTTCACCTTGCCCCCAAAAAAGATAACGGCTGGAGGCCCTGTGGGGATTACAGACGACTCAACTCAAGGACCATCCCCGACAGATATCCAATTAGACACCTTCACGATTTTGCTTATTCTATTGCTGGCTATAAAATATTTAGCACTATAGATCTCGTGAAGGCGTATAACCAAATTCCTGTTTGTCCAGAGGATATACCCAAGACGGCTATCACCACCCCATTTGGTATGTACGAATTCCCATTTATGACATTTGGTCTGCGCAATGCAGGCCAAACATTTCAGCGATTCGTCGATGAGATGACGCGCGGGCTGGACTTCGTATACTGTTACTGTGATGACTTTCTAGTCTTTTCTAGAAGTCAGCCGGAGCACGAACATCACTTACGGCTACTGTTCACTAGACTCAGGAAGTACGGTATGGTGATTAATGTATCCAAGTGCGTATTTGGAGTTCCCGAGGTAACCTTCCTAGGTTATCGCATTTCGGAGAGCGGTACCAAACCCTTGGACACTAAGGTAGCAGCTATCCGTAACTTCCCAGCACCAAAGACTGTCAAGCAGTTAAGAGGTTTCTTGGGCATGGCGAACTTTTATCGTCGTTTTTTGCCAAACGCAGCTCTTACCCAGGCTCCCCTCAATAAGCTTCTTACCGGTGCAGTCAAAGGTTCAACTCCCATTGATTTAAATGGCGATGCTCAGAAGGCTTTCCAAGACACCAAGGAAAGCCTACTCAATGCTGCAATGCTTGCCCACCCTGATTGCCGAGCCAAGTTAGCATTGGTGACTGATGCGTCAGACTTAGCCATGGGAGCTGTACTTCAACAGCTGATCGAAGGTAAGTGGCAGCCATTAGCTTTCTTCTCTCGGAAACTGAGCCCAGCGCAAGCGAAATACTCACCGTACGACCGAGAGCTTCTCGCTATCTATGAGGCCATCAAGTACTTTCGCCACATGCTGGAGGCGAGGCACTTCACAGTGTTTACGGACCACAAACCCCTCACTTACGCTTTTAGTGATCGAAAATACAACTGTTCACCCCGCCAGCACAGACACTTGGACTATATCTCACAGTTTACGACCGACATAAAGCACATTGCCGGTAAGGACAATGTCGTTGCCGATGCTTTATCTCGCGTCGAAGCACTGGAAGCTCCAATCTGTCTAGAGGATTTGGCTCGATCGCAATCGTCTGATCCTGAACTGGCTGAGTACCTGGCTAATTCTTCTTCCATCCGCTTGCAACAAATTACCGTTCCTGGGAGTCGTACGCTTCTGTACTGCGATGTCAGTACATCGGCACCCAGGCCATTCGTTACAAAACAATTTCGCAAGCAAGTTTTTCACAGTCTTCACTCTCTTAGCCATCCAGGGGCCAATACGACTGCTCAATTAGTAGCTCAGCGATTTGTTTGGCCCGGAGTCCGAAAAGACGTCAGAGAGTGGACACGTGGTTGTCTACAGTGTCAGCGGGCAAAAGTAACACGACATGTCTCTGCGCCTATAGGTAATTTTAACCTGCCGCGAGCCAGATTTAAACATGTCCACATTGACTTAATAGGCCCTCTCCCGATTTCGAACGGCTACCGCTACTGTTTGACAGCCGTCGATCGATTTACCAGGTGGCCTGAAGTCTGTCCAATTATGGACATTACTGCTGAGACTATAGCGAAGTCTCTTATTACCAGCTGGATATCTAGATTCGGATGTCCTATAGACATCGTTACAGATCGCGGTCGACAATTTGAGTCCGCATTGTTCCAGTGTCTTGCGAAATTTCTAGGGTTCCAGCATAAACGCACTACTGCATATCACCCCGCATGCAACGGACTTGTCGAGCGCTTTCATAGGCAACTCAAAGCAGCTATTACTTGCCACGCCGATGTTAACTGGACAGAATCCCTTCCATTAGTGCTCCTGGGCGTCCGAACTGCTTTTAAGGATGACTTGCAGGCTTCCTCAGCTGAGTTACTGTATGGTGAGCCTCTCAGACTTCCTGGCGAATTCTTCAACCCCAGTTCAAGCGGTACCACTGACTTATCAGATTTCACCGCAAGGCTGCGTTCTTTCGCTGAGAAATTGCAACCAATAGCAGCTTCTCGTCATCACAAGGGCAGAGTATTTATTTTCAAAGAGCTAGCCACCGCGGACCATGTCTTCCTCCGTGAAGATGCTTCGCGGGCTCCCTTTCAACCAGCATACTCTGGCCCTCATAAAGTTTTAGCACGCAATGATAAGACATTTAAAATATTTATCAAAGGTAATAAGGTAACCGTCAGCATTGATCGCCTAAAACCTGCTTTTATATTGGTGGATGACGATGATGCTGATATTTCCTCACCAAAATCAACACCGCAAAATAAGGTAACAGAATCGTCACCACGCATTCCTCCAACACCTACAAATATGTATCGAACAACACGTTCTGGAAGACATGTGCGTTTTCCAGATTTTTATCGTCCCTAACCAGGCCTTTGGGGGGGGAGTGATGTGGCAACATTATATTATTTTCCACATATACTAATAAATAAACATAATATACATAATTATAAATAACATACATATCATATATAACAAAATATTATACATGTTAAATATACAGAATTATATTATATATAAACAAATATTCACAAAAACATTAAATTAACCATATTAAATATCTATTTATAATGACGTGCCAATTTGTCGTAAGTTCGGAATGGACACGCGCACTCTAAACGAGTTCCTAGTTAAATTCTTTTGTTCGCGTAACCGACTCCTGCGCCGGCCGTTCAGTAGCCGCGCGCACCAGTCTGTATCACGATCCCACGGCGAATGCATGACTGTTTGCGCTCCGTTCGGACTACTCAAACCTGTTATTGCGTATGTTCTACATTATAAATAGTTGTAAGACCTGCCATTCATTATTCCAGTGTGTTACTAGCCCTTCCGTGACTGTAAAAATTGGATTAGGTAAATTAAAGTGAATATTCAAAGTGACGTGTTTGAATTGAACTAAGACTCGACGTCTACCTATATTTCATCTGCTACCTAACCATACCTGCATGAAAAGTCTCAGCCCGATCGGTTTAAAATTGACAAAGTTTCATACAAACTTTCATTCCCTATTTTATCCCCTTGGGGGTAGAATTGATCAAAATCCTTTCTTAGCGGATGCCTACGTCATAACAGTTACCTGCATGCCAAATTTCAGCCCGATCCGTCCAGTGGTTTGGGCTGTGCGTTGATAGATCACTATGTCAGTCAGTCAGTTACTTTTGAGTTTTATTTATATATAGATTGTTATTATAGATGAATATCTGTTAATCAAAATGAGTATAATAGGTTAAAATACTTTAGGTTCTGTTTGCGAGATAAGGGCTTAGCGTGTCCTCCGAAGCACGGAGGAGCTCGAGACAGTAATTTTTGAGTACTTTCCATTCATTTCGGAACTATTTTATAATCTCTTATCTATTAGACAAGTCCGTCCGTCTGTCTGTGGTGCTGTTTCAGCGGCCAAACCGTAAGAGATAGATAAAGAGAATATTTAGGTTATAAGTTAAGAATAGTCTGATAAGACTACAAACCGGATTTGAGTAACGTAGCACTTCCGGTTTTCGAGAAATCAGGTTTTGGTGAACATTTGGTTCACTGGTTTGCTAGTAGTGATAATAATCTTACAAGAGCGGGAGTAAGCGGTGCCAGTATGGAGCCGATCCTTCCCATCATGGAAGAGAAGGCGAACAGGCTGTGTCGGTACTTGGTGGGGTACAGCTCCGCAGTGTACACGTAGATGGAAGTCATCACCGTCGCGATGCAGTACGTGCCGATCAGGTACAGGGCCAGAGACAAGCCGGGTTGATCTAAAAACAGAAGTAAAAAGTTTTGAAGTGATAACTTCTTTAGCGGCGTTGTACACTTTTTGTGTATAGGTAAAAAATGATAAAGTCGCGTCAGGACACGTGGGCTGATCGCGTCATGACACGTGGCCTGATCGGGGATCTGACGAAAACAATAAATTTGGAAAGGTTGTTGACTTTCAATATGTTGGACGAAACATAGTAATATTTTATTTTATCGTGTTTTAATAATAAGTCTCTATCTAGGACGTCCAGGTGGCAGCTTTATTGCGAAAAAAATGCCTTTTTTTTTTACAATAGATGTCGCTAGGTGCGCTTAAATGTGATTCATGTAAGTTGATTTCTTTACAATAGTTGTCGCTAAGTGCGCTTAAACGTGATTCATGTAAGTTGATTTTTCTGAGAGATAAACTTTTTTAATGTAATATAAATTGTCATGTTTGTGTACGACAGCGTAATAAATAAATATTGTATTCTACCACATAAATGACAGTACTTTTATACTGATAATTAAAGCAATTCGTGCAAAATTATTCCCTAACCATTCCATCAAAACTGCACAACGTTAATATTCAAGTTTTCACTTCTGCCGGCACTCACGGAGTGCAACCCGTCATTTTTTTTGAAGTTATACTTATTTAGGCGCGTTATGAAAAAATGATGAGAGTGAAATTTTAAGATGCGCGCGCATCACTGTAACACAAAATTTTAACAGCATGAAGTTGGTCGCTTTAGCAACCAACTTCATGCGTTACTTTTGTGTTTACCGCATATTAAGAAAATCTACCAACAAAATAGAAATAGGATTCTATTTAGTGGGTGCTAACGACTGCATTGTGAAGGCCTATCAAAAGTATTTATTAATCTGGAACAACGGAACCAAAGCGCGATTCAGGAGACTACAGCGCCATCTCTTGACCATTGGTGTAGTAGAACCAAAAACCACATCTTTATTTTTTTTATTAAAGCCTTTATGGCACGGGATGACTTTACAAGCTATAAGCTAGCGAATTCGCTAGTAGCTTGTAAACTCGCCCCGTGTCATCGAGGCTTAAGACACAGTATCATCATCAGCCTATTGTGAAATCCCCTCTGCTGGTGCACAGGCCTTCCCTATGGAAGGAATAGGGAGACGGATGCACTGAGCCCCTGTGGTAGATCATGGCACAATCTTCTAATTTCAGTCACAGTATAAAATGGCGCTCGATGGCGCTAGTGGTTAGCGCGTTCAGCTGCGATCGTCGAAGTTAAGCAACTTTCGCAGTGGTCGATCATTGGATGGGTGACCAAAAAATTTACTATCTCGAGCCTCTCCGTGCTTCGGAAGCCACGTTAAGCCGTTGGTCCTGGCTGCATCTGCAGTCGTTAGCATCCACCAATCCGCACTGGGCCCGCGTAGTGGGTCATGGCCCAATCTCCCTATTCCATCCATAGGGAAGGCCCAGCCCCAGCAGTGGAGACATTAATAGGCTGATGATGATGATGATGATAAAATGGCATAATGTTGATATGTTGCAGAGTTGCAGTTACACACACCCACTTTTAGGAATAAGATGTCTGAATTTAATTATTATGAATATTATGGATGGCACTGCTTCTTAAGCATGGATAAACTTATTAGCTCATCTTCATATTGAGATGAAATTAGAAAAGTAAAATATTTTCTAAAAAGAATAACCAAGTAGCGCCTAGTTAGCCAGCGTAACATGTAATATCTAAGGCCAATGCAGGCCTATAGCTACAATAACAGTTTACCACAACTCTGTTCTCATCTTTGCATAATAATTGATTCTTACTTTCAGGCATGAAGATATATCCAATTTGGCAAGCAGCACACAACCAGAACGCCACGATGAGCACCGGTTTCCTACCGACTCTTCCAAGCAGCAGTACAGCAGTCCAATATCCCGGAATTTGTGCCGCAGACACTGCAATGTAATTCAGGTACCTATTGCCGGTCATATTCACAGCATTGATGGAAAGACCATAGTATATGAAGGTGGTCGTTATCCACCACACAGGAGACACCAGGCATCTCAAAAGCACTCGCTTGTGACGAAACACGAGCACTATTAACCAAGGTTCGTTCTTCTTTTGACTCTTTTCCAACTCTTGCTTTCTACGTTCCTCTTCTGCGTTGTACTGCAAAGCTTCGAGAGATTTGTCTGATAGCTGCGTCTTGTTCACTCGAGCGATTGTTTTGAGTACACCTCCGGCTTCGTCGTAACGGCCTTTGCTCATGTACCACCGTACAGACTCGGTCATGAGCCAGAAATAGAGGATGGTGAGTAGTTGAGGGATGTAAAGTGCTAGAGTGAGGTTCTTCCAGTTGGGAACTCCCCACGCGATTAGCCCCATCGTGATCTGCCCCACGGAGAAGAATGTATTCATGCTGGCGCCAGACAGTACGCGAAACTTAGGACCGACGACCTCCATTACTGAAATTCAAAGAGAAGAAACGATGAAGGTATAAATAATAAATAAATAAATATCTCCAACACTCTGTGTGTTGTCTAGCCCCAAAGAAAGCACTATAAGGCTTGTGTTATGGGATACTAGGGTAACGGATAGAATACATATACTGTACATATATAAGTATATTTATGTGTATATAGAAATACATATTAAACATCCATGACTGGGGTACAAATGCACGTATTTATCAAACAAACATCTGCCCCCATCGGGATTTGAACCCGGGACCTTTCGAGTCGGCGACACCATGAAACCCGGCGTACAAACCACTCGGCCACGGAGGTCGTCAAACCTTAAACGGCAAAGGTATTGGCCACGTAATCCAGTAAACTTAAAGAATGAAAGGCAGTTACATAATAAGAAATTCTTGCAATTCGTAAAAACCTGTATCGCAAAAGCCTGTTGACAGTAAAGTTACAAAATATGAAGCTTAAACACATTAACAGGTTCTCTATACAATCCCAAGGAATTGTATACATTATCTAAGCAAAGTATAAAATGTAAAATAATATTTATAATATTCCATACATTGCCTAGTTGCCCCAGGCATTCTAAAATTTTCCTAGATATTGTATAAAATATCTGCATAGTTTAATATATACAGGAACAATGAACCTTAAACTAAAAACCTAAAAAAATATAATAGTATAACTAAAATATATTACTAAAAGGAGTCCCTTTAGGTAAGGTTCCGAAGATACTGGCAGCGTTCCCCCTTTGAATAGCTAGACTAATTCTTTGTCCAAGGTAGCTGCCAGCTCTTCGGTCTCCAGTGATGTTGACTAACCTTTTTGATATTTCCTTAAAAAACCTCATAGCGCTAGGATTCTACGGACCAAGGGTCTCGACACCGAACAAATAAAAACAAATTTAAATATCTGCATCATACAGATTGTCGGTAACACATGTATTTATTCCAACCTTACAATTTCATTCTTCTATGCAACATATCGGCGTAGCAGGGCTTCACTGGGCGGTGCCTTGTAAAATCGTCGGTTTATTATTTGCATTGTTGTAAATTGTTGTAAAGTGCATTAATGTTTTGATCGGTTCGCTAAATATTTTTATCGCAGTAGCAAGGACACTTGTTGGTAGAATGATAAGATTTTATGTACAATATTAATATTTCTAGATTCTGATCAAATAAGTCGAACATCGTAGGTGAATGTCTTGTACTAGACATGGGCGTTTTTGGTTTTGCACGCAAACGGATATTTATCGGATTTCAGATTTCAAAATCGATTTTAAAATCCGTTTTTAGATATCCGTTTTCAGATGTGCCGAACTTAGCCAATTCACTAGTTTGTGTTATGATTTGGTTTTATTAGCTAACGACAATCACAAACAATTAATTGTAGGAAACAAGGATACTCGAAGATTTGCGCGATTTTCCTTCATGCTTTAAATCTAGGCTTAAGAGTAGCAGAAAAGTTATGTTTACGGTTAAAAATCGGCTTATATACAATGATTTCTTTTTACATATTTTTTTAGTATTTTTTTTTTATTTTTCTGTTTGTTTTTATTATTTTTCAAACCATTTACAAAATCAAACCTAATTACTTCAGGTTAGCGTTCAAAAATGTAAGTTAATCGACTTTTGATGTTTTTAGACGACATCTCTTTTCAGTGATAAATAATCCCGCCTTAGAGAACAGCAATAGATTTCCGTAAACAGCAAACCGAAATCGGACTTCCGAAAACGAAAGCACGAATTTCGAATCCGATTTACATATGGATACTTGTGGTGGTATTAGATCGCTAGCGTTTTGGTTCGGTTAGATTTCTGAAATCGGATTTTCTTGTTGAGGAATCGTTCGGTATCGATTTGAGTTTGAAATCGGATTTTGGATTCGTTTTGATATATCAGACGCATGCCTATCGTGTACGCTCTAAGTAAACTATTTGTTTATTTTTGGTATTAAACTTTCATGGTCACTAACATTATAGTAAATTATGTTATTTACGGGATTGTTACCATGTACCTTGTTTTAAGTGAATTGCCATGATCCAGTTACTCCATGATCATGGCGCTTGCAACAGTACCGAAATATCGGAAACTCGCTAACAACAATCCCGTCAATAACATAGATTACTATAATTGTTTAATTTTATTGTTAATTTTAAAGGTTTGGGAGGCAACTGGCATCCCGGCCCACTTATGATTTATAAATAATAAGTTTCTTTAAAAAAAATCGTAAAATTTTGTTACATTTTTGTCTCTTTTTCTTTCTTCTGCCCCGCCTACTCTGGCAAAAATCCTGCCCTTTGTTTTTACACAGGCAAAACCTTTGAAATGAAATGAAATGAAAAGTCATTTATTCAGTCTAGACTGTTACAAGCACTTGTGAAAGTCAAGAAGCTACGCCATCGGTTCGCAAAACTACGGCGGGAGACCTTGTACTGAGAAGAACCGGCAAGAAACTCAGCAAGGGCTGCTTTTTTCTCCCTGTATTGATATATACAGAGTCGTCAAGCCTTTATTCACAGACGTTGGCGCCCTTAAGGGGCACACCAAAGAATAGACCTCACATCTAGCCTCTCGCAGGTCTCACGAAACGGGGAAGCCGTTAAGCAGTCCGCGCGGCTTACGAGCGCTTACGCCATACTATCCGCTAAAAACCTCTGCGAATACCCTCTACCGCGAGATCTTCGTTGAGGGGACTTCATCTCGTCTAACGTAAACCCAGTCCTGCATACTTACTTCACAACGAAATTCAAGACGACCTCCGTGGTCGAGTGGTTTGTACGCCGGGTTTCATGGTGACGCCGACTCGGGAGATCCCGGGTTCGAATCCCGGTGGGAACAGATGTTTGTGTGATGAATATGAGCATTTGTACTCCAGTCATGGATGTCTAATATGTATTTCTGTATAAATATACTTATATATGTACCGTATATGTATTCTATTCGTTACCCTAGCATCCCTTACAGTGCTTACTTTGGGGCTAGGCTAATTGGTGTGAGTGTTGGATATATTTATTTATTTATTATTTATTCCCTATAATTCCCTCCGTTGGAGCCCTTGAAACTTTACTCGTGATAATTAATTATTATTACAAGTATATACACCTATCTAAAATTTATGACTTTATTTAACTGATTACGAGACAATAAAAGTACAACAGGCTTTCGATAGCAAAATATCAAATCTATGAATAAATCGATAAGGATTTTATTTTATCTGTGAAATACCAGACACACAGAACTATAAAAATTTCATAGTCACCATAATAAAATGTAAATCGTCATCAATTGATAATGAGAAGCTGTAAATAATTTCCTACGATAAGTAAAAGCATTTTGACACGTGATCTGTGAGATTTCCGATCTACAACTCACCAACATTATTGACTAAAAACAATTAATTTTCTGAGACACAGATTTTGGGTTCGTTGTCATGTATTCTTAGGAAAAGGGTTTCTTTGATCGCGTTCACATGTAATACATGACAATAATTCCTTAATGATAATAATTGCCTCTCAAAGATTATATTTGGAAAATGAATTGTATAAATTTTTAAAATGTCAACCATAAAATTACAATGTCATCTTTTGCAACTGACGCTGAACTCTTAAAAGAATTAAGTGTTATACTATAGATGAATGATTGGTCTCGCTTCACTCGACTAGATACCGCCAGCGTACTTGTCTAAGGGTGCGGCCAGAGTGCACTCAGATTCAGAGTCAGATTCAGATTCTGAAAACAAGCGCGAGAAATAAACAGTGTAGTCTAAGCAGGTTGCCTGCTTTTTCTCGCGCTTTGTTTTCTGAGTCTGAATCTGAATCTGAATCAGGAGTGCAATCTGGCCGTACCCTTCGACTACACTGTTTATTTCTCGCGCTTGTTTTCGAAATCTGAATCTGAATCTGAATCTGAGTGCACTCTGGCCGCACCCTAATGCGGCAACAAATACTATGCCGAAATCGGCATACCCGAGCTTTCACCAAGCCAGTCAACCTAACAGTTGAGAATAAGGTGTACGTAGTGAATGTTTTATTAAAAATTGGTGTTAATCGAAAGTAAAATGCCAGTTTATGTAGTGAAATAATACAACAATAAATAACAAGGACGCTGGGATCACATAACATCAATAAGTATAGTAAAATTTTGAAATTTCTACATAAAATAACATGAACCCTAAACGTCATTCAGGTGTTGCCGCGTATACAATAATCAAGTCCCTATGTTTGAGATTTCTATTTATAATGTGAATTTATTGTTAGTGTATTTTATTATTGAACCTATGTTATTTAAACTTACTATTAAACTTTAACTAGTTTTATATTATTCATCGTTTATCTTTGTAATCTACCTTTTATTCCTATGATATTCTGTTATTAATTTTAATAACATTTTTTTCAACACATTTGCTTGTAAACTGACTCTTATTATTTACACAGTTTTTAGTTTCACAATTCAGCATATTAACTAGCATACTTGTTGTGTAATTGTTTTTTAATTTTATCATATTATTTAAATTATTTTAGGGTTAAGATGACAAATAAACGATTCTGTTTATGTTTATAAACACAAATTATTTTTACTAACGTATTAAAAAAACATTAATTTATACTTGTAGTTTATTCTTTTTTTATATTGCTGCTGTTCCGGCTGCACAGTCGGTCTTTTAACAGACTTTAAGAAAGGATATTCTCAGTTTGATCTGTATGTATGCATGTTTGACCATGATAATCTCAAAGCTTCAGCTCCGAATGAGAGCTATCGCGTATGAATCCGCCGCCAGAGGCGCTCGTGTAGCGTGAGGTCTCCGAAATGTCAAATGTTATTGCTTGTTGGTTGACTACGCGGGTTTATTTCTTATTAAAATAATGTTGTGAATAATTGGTAACAATTCGGCTTAATTATGGCAAATATGAGTTATGTGGCAATGAATGTCAGTTATTAAAAATTTGAGCCATGGCCTATTATGTTTAGGATATGGTCCTTTTTATTTTAAAATACGATCTAAATGTAACCTTTGATTTCATGTGCGTATTAATAAACTTTAAAAGTTACAATTTAGGACCTCACTTAACAGTGGCGCCATCTGGTGAGACAGAAAACGGTAGCCCTCATTGGATGGGGTTTTCGAGCGTATTAATGCGTAAATACGCATTTTCTGAGAAGGTTTAAGAATATGATTTACTAGCAATGTCTCACGGTTTTACACGTGTGGATCTACGCTTGTACAGTTTCCAAATAGTAGCGTATTCTGTGTAACACTAAAAATGGGAAAATGGAATATTTTTAATAAAAATAAAACCGACTTAAAAAAAATGATGTGGTGTCGTGGGACACCAGGTAGGAACGAAGTTCCTTCGGCTAATGTAGAATCGACACAAATTGCAAACTCGCTTGTGTATGCGACTGTCGCGCCTGCGCACGTGTCATTTAACGGTTTTATTCCACGCACTTTTTTCCACGGATTTTTTCTTACGGTTTTACTATCACATTTTTTTCAGTTCGGTCGCGCAGCAAAATCCCTATCCCCTCCAAGTCTGCCGTAAGGAACTTCGTTCCAATAGATTTACCGCCTGATATACTTGAAGTCGATACCAAGGTATATGTTTAGCAAGGAGATCATGATAATAATAACGATCGTTTCACGGTAAATCTTATTTTACATGTTCAGTATTTTTGAAATCGGTTCTATTTTTATTAAAAATTATTCCTGTGCTGTTATTGAACCTATGAGCGCATTTATTAATAAAATTTGCGCAAGTTTAATTCAACCCCGCCGGAAACACTTATCGAGGCACGAATCGCGAGTGATAGGCTGTGGCTGCCAGTTGATTTATGAACATATAGTAAGTAGTGGAGGAGCTCGATGGCGCAAGTGATTAGCGCGTTCGGCTGCGATCGTTAAAGTTAAGCAACTTTCGCAGTGGTCGCTCATTGGATGGGTGACCAAGAATTTACTATCTAGAATTCCTCCGTGCTTCGGAAGGCACGTTAAGCCGTTGGTCCCGGCTTCATCTGCAGTCGTTAGCACCCACCAATCCGCACTGGGCCCGCGTGGTGGGTCATAGCCCAAACTCCCTATTCCATCCATAGGGAAGGCCTGTGCCCCAGCAGTGGGGACATTAATAGGCTAATGATGATGATGATAGTAACTTGACGACATTTCTAAAGCGACGTTCTGATGGATATATTGGCCGAAAGTCAAAAGTATTGTCACCAACCGATTTTGAAAAGTTTTTGAAGGTAGCTCCGTAATGTCAAAATACGGCAACAAACCTGCAAAGTCCAGTTGAACTTTATAACAGTTACTAACTACAAGTTTGTTTTTTCGTCGCAATTGTGTTAAAAACGTCGTATGCAGCTCGTGTGCATTGATCATTACACACTCAGCTTCCTTACCGAGTCACAATAATGTCTCGTTTATAGTGACCAACTTATCACACTTGAATCACTGTTATAATGTGTACAAGTAAATGTTACATGTACATAAAATAAATTGTATTTTTTGAAGAAGAAACCCTAAAGTACACTATAATATTGATATAGGTATTCGCATTTAATCAAGTGCATCTTCTTCAAGTATTTTATGAGCTACATTTATCACCTGGTACATATTAATTATAAATTATAACCTACATTATTTTCCCTATTACTTGGGTAGCAGTTGAGCAGCTGGCTACACGATTTATGACATTTGATAGCAACCTTACAAATTGAAATACACTACATTAACGAGTTGCCGCATTTTCGGAGCTGTTGTTTTTTGACAGCGCAGTATCTAGTCGAGTGATGCGAGATCAATCATTCATCTATGTGTTATACTTAATAAGTTGCGAAAAAAAACGATATATTGTAATGAAAGGTTACTGGCAAATTTATCACCTTTTATTTTATATCTAGTTTTATTGAGTTTATTTTATATCTAGCATATTCTCTATGACACCTGCTTTCTGACCTTGGATTAGAAAATAATGCGAATATGTTTATTAAAGTTATCTGCTATTTTGCTGTTGTTCTACAATCTTTGATAAGTGTAGTGCAGTGATAAGCTGTAATTAGATCTATAATTAGGTAATTACCGAGGATGTAAGCAGTGGAAAACCCTCCGGATCCGAAAGTGGATTCGGCGAATTCTGATATGATGAATCCGGCGTAAGTGTCCGCGAAGTATCTGAGCGCGCCGATCCATGCGGTGTTGAAGGCGTTGAGGGTGAGTGCGGTGCGGCGGCCCCAGCGGTCCGATACGAAACCAGTGATTGGAAGTGCCGTCAGCGTTCCGAACGTCCTGATGGAGCCGATGAGGGAACGACGCCAGTCATCGCACGCCAGATCATACTGATAAAGAGAGGAGGAACTGTTTTATTGGCCAATAAGTACAGATTCATAAACATAGCCTTTACCTTCAGAGGACCACGCGCGCTGGCTTACGTTGTCGCCGACTTATTGTGGCGGCCATACCAACGTGAACAAATATATTTGAGAACTCTTTTCTTTGTTGCATTATTTTATATAACTTTGGCAGGATGGTGGTGTGTCAGATAAAACTGCTGGACCAGCTGTCTTCCTTCGTACTCTACTACTCTACTACTATTTAACATCAAGTAGGATAGAATCATTTGTCTACCTTAAAATCAAATACAAAAATGACTCGCAGCATTAAGGTAGCGATTATGATGAAACAGAATAATAGAGACATTTTTTTTTGACCAGGAGAAATGCGTTACGCATACCCCACCACTGGTTAGGCATCGGGGTTATGTGGGGTTCCTCCCCCCACCTCCCGCCCACCCACTCAGCCAAGCCATAAGTCTGGCTCAGTGGCTGCTCGGGATAGGGAGGCCCTATCCACTAAAACTCCGGGATGTGGCCTCCTTGCCAGCGGTGGTAGTTTGGGATCGTTATTGGGACTCAACCAGGCCGCCACCGGCAGAATAATGGAGACCTACACCCAGCAGTAAAAGTGACTAACTACAAAGACATATGAAGATAACTGATTTGAGCTTTAAGGTAACATGATTATTAGTATGAGGATGTTATGGAAAACATATTCCTTTCCCTGCCATCGTGGGTTATAAATTGAAGTAGATTGAAAACAGAACTCACATCGTAGACGACCGTGTCGGTGTTCTGGTAGATGTGTGACTCGCAATCCCTCAGGTCGTTCCTGTTGAACCAGGTCGCTGGGCAGAATTCATTAGAGGGGGGCAGCACGGTGACGTTTCCGAAACGTTGGCAGCCGTCGTAGGAACTGCCGCCGGTGCTCGGAAACACGTTCAGCGCCCAGCCGGGGGAGAACTGGAGGTCGGGTGCTTGGTCGTCGCATTCTGGGATGTAACATCTGGAAAGTAGGCGGGATACCTTTAGCAGGTAATTTTTTTTAAGTATGTTTTCACATCAATAAAATACTTTATTTATATTTAAATATCTAGCAGTTAAACAATAAATATGACAAAAAAATTACAGGTGGGATCATGATAAGCCGTTGGGGAGTGCGGCTCCATCCTCGCAGAGACCAGAGCGCTGCCATTTGTGGCGGGTGCCACGGATACACATACTGCTGGCCCTAATGATCGCGATCTGGATTCTTGCGCGTAACCATCCTATTATTGAGGCGAGGGGCCGGCTCCAGCGGTCTGCTGGTGCTTCGGCAAGGTGTTTAGCGAAGCTTTTCAATTGTGGGGCGAAGACTCCGTCGACTGAGGTTACCAGGGGTGTAAATGTGGAGTGGCGCGACTCGCATGGGCCACAGTATTTCCTCGTTTTTGAATGAGACAAAAAAAAAAACATTTTTTTTGCAGGTAAATTTTTTGAGGTTCTTACTACTGACGCAGAAGCTTTTCCTATGAACCCAAAATAAAGCAGCACGTCACTTTGACTGACTTTTACTTTTTTGTTGTGCCTATTCTTCGTAACGACTGAATGATGTTCTAAAGGAGGAGCTCGATGGCGCAAATGGTTATCGCGTTCGGCTGCGATCGTTGAAGTTAAGCAACTTTCGCAGTGGTCAATCATTGGATGGGTGACCTCCCTGCTTCGGAAGGCCCGTTAAGCCGTTGGTCCCGGCTCCATGAGCAGTCGTTAGCACCCACCAAACTCCCTATTCCATCCATAGGGAAGGCCTGTGCACCAGCAGTGGAGACAATAATAGGATGATAATGATGATGTTCTAAATGGGTAGGAAAATGTCGGTGGTAGTCAATGGTTGGTAGTGGTCTTGTGGTGTTCGCATTAATGAGGAAAAAGCTTTTAATGATATGTAAAGAATTAAGTATCATTTCATTCATTCTGAATGTTACTTTAAGCTCTGTAGAATACAGGTTTTCGATTTCACAAATAAAGTCTTCTGTGCTTATGGCTTTACAGATTTCCAGATTGTCGAAAGTACAATAGTGAGACTTGTCTTTGGTCATTGCAATATATTTATGATTAGGTATAATTAAACTAAACGAGTTTGGTTCTTTAGAGTTGTATGGTATAGGAAGAGCAATGGTATGAAATAATACATATTCTCTGGTGTTAACTAACAGCACTTGTAAAACAAATATAATCTTATTCTTAAAATAATAACAAACTAACTTAGAAATACTAAAAATTAGATACACAGTATTAAAGTCTAATACAACAGGCAACTTTCAGTCGTTAGATAAATGTCTGTAGTTATCGGCAAACTCGTGGTATAACTGATTTGGTGTTATGATTGTGGGGTGTAAAATATTTTGACTGCTATCTATGCACTACGAAATAAATTTGACTTTCACTTAAGTAAGTTCTATCTTTATATCGCAATCGCTACCATCACAATCATAAAATATGGTTAGCATTTCTTGAAAAAGAAAAGATTTAAATGATTTGTAGATAAATTGTTTTTGAAATCATCATCATCATCATCATTTCAGCCGAAAGACGTCCACTGTTGGACATAGGCCTCCCCCATGGATTTCCACAACGATCGGTCCCATGCTGTCCGCATCCAGCGGCTTCCCGCGACCTTTACCAGATCGTCGGTCCACCTTGTGGGGGGCCTGCCAACACTGCGTTTCCCGGTACGCGGTCGCCACTCGAGGACCTTTCCGCCCCAACAAATTACGTTACGTTTTTGAAATGAAAGTAAATAATTTTATATCTGTAAAATTGTTTTTGCCGCTGTTCAATGATTTTTATCTTCAATCGACACGAGGCCAATTGCCCTTTAATTCACAGATCTAATCGTTGTATAGTTTTAGACCGTTAAATTTATATTTTGTAGGTGTTTAGAGCTATTTTATATTTGTTATTTTCCGAATCGTTATGATTTTATATCGTGTATAATCTTTGTATGACAATTTCATCATATATCGGCACGTGTAATACATCCAAAGTTTTATCTACTTCAGCTTTATCTATAACTAACAAATGTTTAGATTTTGGAAGTAGCTAGCAATCGTGATTAAAATTTACTAATGGAAAAGCAACTTTCCTTCTGTTTGTTTCACATCAAACCACTGAATCCAATTTTTATTATTGTGATAAAGGAGAGCACATTGAAACAACGAAAAATGGATTCTGCTTGACAATCCTGTTTCAGCACCTAAACAATGCCCCAAACGAAAACTGACCCCTAAAAAAGTGGTGGTCCAGCGCCAGTGTCATTCATCACAGCTTCTAACCAAACTTCGAATGAGAATTACTGCAGATGTGTACAGTGAAGAACTGAACACAATGATGGAGAAGCTCCCACATCTCCAATCATCTTTGGTCAAGCGTTCGGCTCCGCTGCTCCTGCACGACAACACGCGATCTCACACTGCACAGCAGACGGTCTACAAGTAACGAGAGCTGGGGTTGGAAACTTTGGCGCTACAGACTTCTACTTTTTCCAGAATTTGAATAACTTGTTAGCGGGGATAAATACCTTTATCATTTCAAAATGCCTTTGAAGATTTTGCTGCCTCCCGTCCAGAAGACTTTTCTAAAAAGGGGCATCAATAAGCTACCACAACGTTGGCAAAACTGCATTCATTGCATGGGTAATTACTTTGATTAATAAAAATAATAAATAAAGGGCGCTAGCTTATTTCATGGAAAACGGCAGTTTCATAGGTAAAGATCTAATATTTGTATGGATTTTGCCTTTGTGTACCGCTCTTTAAACCAAGCTTAGAAGAAGTTGAGGTATTGTGTTAAGCTTTATAATGTGTTATGCGATTTTTTACCTGGTGCTGATTCTGGCAGTGGTGAAAATGTATTCATTAGCACCCCATGATGCAAATATGACGATTATTATTGTAAGCAGTACGACTTTTATCTGGAACCATCCGAACTGTCCTATCTCCTCCACTAGAATCGTGTCTAAATCTATTCCACTCTTTTGTCCTTCCTCTATTTTCACATCTGAGTTTCTTTTGTCATCAACGTTAGCCATGTCGATGATTTCTCTATCGCAATATTAAGTTTCAGTTTTATTATAATCAGTACTTCAGTTTTTTTTTTATAAGCACTTTAACTTCTTATCTGTTCTCGAATTAAAGAAAGATCTACATTACAAGAATTTGTTATAAACTCTTTGAACACGTGCGCCAGCAGCAATACTGTTGCGTCGAATGATTTTACACATTATTTTAAAGATTACTTTAATATGTATTGTAAAGTAATAAATAATAATGATTTTATCACTCGATCCTGCACTAGATATAGATAGATGTTCCGGTTAATTAAAGGTCATTATTGTTTTGCATAAAGGAACTTAGTCAAATAGCACTGTTGAAAAGTAAAGTAAACTTTGCCAGAGTAAAAAGTCGCCGTAATATTTAGCAAGAGCTAGTGGTGAATAAGACGAGATTCAGACGTCCGCGTTCAGAGACTAGCTCGAAAGAACTTTCTACTTCTGACCCAAGCTCAACAAGCCCAAGCAACATCCATAGGAGCTGTAGTTTCAGATTGGCGGTTACCGCCAAGCAAATCTGGCGGCCGCATAATACACATACATACTTATATGTATACTAGCGGCCCGCCCTCGCTTCGCTTCGGTGTAGAGCTGAAGTGTAGACTACAGTTTTTGTTCTCAGGCTTGTTTTATACACAATGAAATTCATCTATGATTCATCTTATACCTGCATGCAAAGTCTCAGCCCGATCGGTTTAAAATTGACAAAGTTTCATACAAAGTTTCATTCCCTATTTTATCCCCTTGGATATTTCTTAATTCTACCCGAATTGATCAAAATACTTTCTTATGCCTTCGTCATAACATCTACCTGCATGCCAAATTTCAGCCCGATCCGTCCAGTGGTTTGGGCTGTGCGTTGATAGATCACTATGTCAGTCACTCACCTTTGAGTTTTATATATAAAGATAGAGATGTCGGTCACGGTGTCGCGAGTTCAATGGTATTTTTCCCTATGTCAATAAATGAGTGATTCATGTACCTACAGGTCAGGGGATTGTGTATGTGTAAATCAATATTCCGTCACAAATCCAACAGCATTCTTCCTATTTGTGCGCACGATAACCGCACTTCAAATCTGAAGTTTTTTTGTATTTTTTTTTTTAAATACCACTTGGCAGAATTCGAACCTGCGCCTTTCGCAACTCTATGCACAAAAAAACATTTGAAGTTGGAACAGATTTGAAATGCGATTATTATGAACGTAAAATATATATATATATACTAGCTGACTCGGCGAACTTCGTACCGCCCAAAAGTAATAATTTGCAATAAATTAAAATTGCGACTATAATTTGAGATTTAAACTATCCTATCTCTCAAGTTGGATCGAACTGCACATGGTGTGCGAATTTTATTATAATCGGTTCAGTGGTTTAGGAGTCCATTGAGGACAAACATTGTGACACGAGATTTATATATTAAGATAATATATCATTGATTAAAAGGAAATAATGTGAAGAATTCAAGAACCATGGTGGCCAGTACTCAATCAGCTGCAATGTTGGAGTTGCCAGGTTTAAACATGTACTTTAGTGTTGATTATTTTTTAGTCATTTGTTTATTTTTTTTATTTATGTGTACCAAATTAAATAGTTGCTGTACATGATAAGTTATGGTGCTGATGAGGAGCTCGATGGCGTCAGTGGTTAGCGCGTTCGGCTGCGGTCGTTGAAGTTGAGCTACTTTCGCAGTGGTCGGTCATTGGATGGGTGGTGGTGGTGGTGGAAAAATTTACTATCTCGAGCTCCTCCGTGCTTCGGAAGGCACGTTATGCCGTTGGTCCCGGCTGCATCTGCAGTCGTTAGCACCCACCAACCCGCACTGGGCCCGCGTGGTGGTTTATGGCCCAATCTCCCTAATCCATCCATAGGGAAGGCCTATGCCCCAACAGTGGGGATAGTAATAGGCTGATGATGATGATGATAAGTTATGGTTGCAAGTTAAAAAATGACCGCAAGTACCTCATTGCCTTGATTGAAATGAACAATTTTCGTTTGAGATGAGTGCTGTTTTTTTTTATCTTTTATCGCCTTTAATCTATGGATGTTTCAGCATAATGAATCATTTTTTCGATTCATTATGCTGAAACATCGATGCATAAGAAAAAGATGCCACTAAAATGAAATGAATGAATGAATCAAAGGTATTTGAAGCCATTTTTAGGCAAACCGTCCCTAATGCTGCAAAATTGAGCGGCGGGTTCTCGGACTCGGGCCAAACAATTTTGTTATTAATTTAACCGGAAGCCGGTACATATAACTTAATAGCGAAAATAACAAAGAATATTCATAAAAGGTGGTAGTCCCAAAGTTCATATGCTCACAACCCCCTACTTGCGGATATTTTTTAACTGGCAACCATGGCTTATAGTGAACATTGTATCGTGTTTTTCCTAAAACCAATCTAAAAAGTATAAAATAAGTTAAAAAAAAACATTCCAGCCAGTGGACCACTTATGGCGCAATTACATTTGGTCGTGTGGCGGCGACATCTATATGCCCCACATATAACTAACATGGAGGAAATAATCACTCGCTTTCTCAAGAGATGGTGCTACCGGCGCTGCGTTCACAATGTAAGGAAGCCTACATCGCGCAAGTAAAATTCGGTAGCCAACAGTTCATATATACGATGCCCGACCGACATCAGTCGGGCCGCGGCCCCCGAGCTACCATCAACCAGCTCGGGGGAAGATCTTCCCCTTTGGCCTTCCTACAGTCGTTAGCCGGTATTCGGGTGCACGAGAGACATTACTCGAATTCGGGCACCCGAAGCAATATCTACACTGGACGGTGTCTGGTAAACAAAAGTTAGCGGTGGGTCGTTCTCAAATTTTCTGACGACGAAACGCAACCGTTTTCTCTTAGACGAAAACTAGTCCTCGAAACGCTTCTCGTTCGCAACTGGTTTTGGTTGCGGCTGGGTGACGCAACGAACCGACACGCGACGGTCGAACGAATGTAACGCAACGAAACTGAACTAAATGAAATCTTGTTAACGTTCGTTTCGTTGCTGCGAACGAGACGACGAAAAATCGAAATAAATGTTGTGTTATACGATAATCGACTTAAAATGTCCGATAATAAAGATTATATTATTGTAAAATCAAAGCTTCATTATCATAGAACGTAACGGCCTCATATCATTGCGTTCTATTATAGACTGTATTTACTTCAGCATAAAGAACATATTGGAGTGCAGACAATCCGAGGACTAGTTGTTCGACGAAGACTGTTTTGATCCGAAACGTAAAACGGTTCTATCGCCGCGGAACACTAAACGGTCCTTGAAACCGGTTCTTCTTTAGAACACTCACACCTAACAAAAGGTAATCTACCTGAATACGGGCGTACTCGATTCCGTTCATTTACACTTAGTCGGTTATCTGAATTCCTTTGCATTCATATTCGGGCTAGCGAGCAAGTATAATCGAGGCATTAGATTAAAGGAATAAGGCGCGAGGATGTGTGTTTCTCTCTCTTTCTGTATGAACCAGAAATAAACAGTTAAAAAATTCAAAAAGTTCAAAATTCAATATCGTTTATTCAGTCTAGGCTGTTACAAGTTTTAATAAATATTTCATTTCATTACATTTCAAGCACTTGTGAATGTCGAGAAGCTACGCCATCGGTTCGCAAATCTACGGCGCGGCGGGAGACCTTGTACTGAGAAGAACCGGCAAGAAACTCAGCAAGGGCTGTTTTTTTCTCCCTGTATTATTTATACAGAGTCGTCAAATTGAAAAATGACTTTAATACGAGGTAACTCATAAAGTCACTTTCCATTACAAACAAAAAATGCAAAAAATTATGTCTATAAAAAAAATATATATAAGAAACTGGTCTAACAAAGTGTAGGAATGCCGTGTCCTACTGTTTAGGCAAAAAAAATAACGATTAAAGTTTAGTACAACGATTAATAGTACCCAATGAAGCAAGAGCAGACTCATTTCCGCTGGCAACACCCGTTCACGAGCATGACGCATGAACCAGCCATCGCATCGCTCAACCATTTTTTAGGGAACGCAACGACCCGCCTCACACGACACCACCGAAGAGATTTTTAAAAAAAATATCAAGGCAATTAAAACGACTGTTAATGTTATACAACTATGTTTATTAATGTGTGTCATGTTATTCTCCGTCTGCTGCCAAGATCCTCGGCCTCCTGGATGGTATCTGGCAGCACGGTGCCAAGCGTCTCTGGCGTGGTGAAGATCAGCGCGCCAGACAGCAGGGCGAAGCTGCCAAACATCACGGAAGGAAGGCTTTCCCATACCTCTAACGCCTGTAACAAATATTTCAATTCATAATGTTTTTTTTCAGTTAAGTTTCTACAAACACAGGCGAAGTCGAAAGCTACGCCATCTACAATAATTTGCTTGTTAGGGTTCCGTACCCAAAGAGAATAGAAGGAACCCAATTGTTGTCACTCTGTTTTTGCCTGTCCGTCCGTCTGTCCGTATGTCACGGATCTCTAGAGCGTAAACGGAATTAGTTACACAGGGCTTGAACCTGGTTTCGAAAATACCGGTAAATAAAGGTTAATACCGGTTTTTAGTAAAGGTTTCGTTCGGAGCGCGTCCGAAATGAAAGCGGTACCTAAAACCTTAATAAACCGGTTTAATCCAGAGCGACACGTGCACGCGTCGGCATCGCTTGAAGTTTGTTTTGTTTTTGAACTAATCAAGTCACAACTTCTTAATGTTCAGAGATTGATGCATTAATTGACACGTTTGCTAGCGTCTTGTGAGTCAAGTTATTCATTTATTATCGATGCCGTCAAAAAGAGCGAAGTGAAACCCTTTAAAACCGCTAAATTGATTCAAAACCTATTTGATTTCGCTCTTTAGGAAAATCGGTTTTTTAAGGTTAAGGTAGAGCCAAACGTAAATAAAACGCTCCTAATGTACTTGACACTGATTTAGGTTTGAAAATTAACCGGTAAACAAGCCCTGAGTTACAGAAATAAATTTTTGGTATTTCATTGAATTTGTATTTATGTAGAAGGCTTGCCCTTGAAAAATTCAATTAAAATAAATTTTATGGAGGAGGAGCTCGATGGCGCAGGTGGCTAGCGCGTTCGGCTGCGATCGTTGAAGTTAAGCAACTTTCGCAGTGGTCATTGGATGGGTGACCAAAAATTTACTATCTCGAGCTCCTCCGTGCTTCGGAAGGTACGTTAAGCCGTTGGTCCCGGCTGCATTTGCAGTCGTTAGCACCCACCAATCCGCACTGGGCCCGCGTGGTGGGTCATGGCCCAATCTCCCTATTCCATCCATAGGGAAGGCCTGTGCCCCAGCAGTGGGGACATTAATAGGCTGATGATGATGATGAAATTTTATGGGGGGTTTCATACATGAAAAGGAGACAGAAATATATTTTACCCCATCATGTGATATTTCATTGTCTAGAGTTCGCTGAGTAGGTTTTTTATAACAAAGGATCTGTTATAGTCATAAGTTGTCATTTTAAGACTATTTTTATTACGGTGTGTTAACGCCATCTATCCTTCGAAGGGAGAAGCTGCAATCGATCCATCATCATCGTCCGTTCATACATTCATTTCGTATCCATTCGTTACTACATTCACTCATTTTGATTTATATAGATTCACTCTCCCTCTTGCAATTCGAATTCAAAAAAGACAACGTACGCACTTAATTTCAATAAGATCTGTATTTTACTATGAATAATATTCTACAATCTGAATATCCGATTTTTATTGAGAATTCCACTTATAGACACTAAGCTATCTAACACGGTGTTTATCTCAAAATCGAAAACAGTTAGGAATGACAAATTTTAGTACATGATGCCCCATAAGCTGTAATTAAACAACAAATACGCCGATTCTTATTGTCCTAAGTTGTGATGGAAACAATTAATGATTTTTCCTTTCGCGGTTTTTTTTTTTATTTATTATTAGCTCACAAAACAAGTTACAAAAATATTTAAAAAAAAAACAAAGCAATTAAAAACAGAATAAAAAAGGAATAAAAGAAAAAAGCAAATAAAAAAAAAAAAAAAATAAAGAATAAGAAAAGAAAACCATACTGTAACTCTAAATATGTGGGCATAACGTGATTATATTTTATGGGCTGAAGTTTACACTAAAGAAAAATATATAAATCGAATTTCAACAATTAAACAAACCCAAAAAATGGGTGCGTGTACTTATGTAGGTGCGCGAGAAGTTATCCTTCTTTGGCATCGTTTAAAATTAGTTTTTAATTGCATGCAAATAATTAATTACAATAAATTAATAAAAAGTCTGGAAAAGGACACAGTCAATAAAGTTCAGTTTTAATTTGAAAAAATTAATAAATAATCAAAATATTCAATTTAAATCGCTACTGAATATAATTTATTAGAACATATGTGATTTGCACTTGTATGAAACTCAAACACGTATTCCGAATATACAAACTAGAAACATGTGGATAAATATTATAAATATGAATACCTATAACTGTTACTTTATTATAAAAAGTAAAGATGTGGTTTTTGGTTCTACTACACCAATGGTCAAGAGATGGCGCTGTAGTCTCCTGAATCGCGCTTTGGTTCCGTTGTTCCAGATTAATAAATACTTTTGATAGGCCTTCACAATGCAGTCGTTAGCACCCACTAAATAGAGATTCTATTTCTATTTTGTTGGTAGATTTTCTTAATATGCGGTAAACACAAAAGTAACGCATGAAGTTGGTCGCTAAAGCGACTGTTAAAATTTTGTGTTACAGTGATGCGCGCGCATCTTAAAATTTCACTCTCATCATTTTTTCATAACGCGCCTAAAGAAGTATAACTTCAAAAAAACACTTAAAAAAAGTAAAAATTAACCGTTTTTTTTATAAAGAAGTATTAATCGTTGGATTTCTTTCCGAAATTCAAGAAGCTGACTACAAAAAGACAAGGTTTGTTGTACGAATCCTTAGTGCGCGAGTCCGCTTCGCACTTGACCGGTTTTTTTATTGTTCTTTTTTATTCCTTTACAGTTTCGTTTTAGCTACTAGTAAATTTTAATACAATATCTTCATGCATACTGTTAAAAGCATGATATGGTTTTATGGTGGATAATTCTTGGAATCCAGTTTTGAATGCATTGTCGCATTCTAAGAATTTATTTTCCATAATAAGGAAGATAATTTAAATAAAAAGAAATTGTAGCTAAATGGCGCAAATGGTTTGAGCATTAATAATATATAAATAATAATAATTCAATTTGTTTGTTAAAATACAATTCACAAGTTGATACATTTTATGGAAGTACATGTATTCTACCTGCAAGCAGGTGTGCAAATATTGCAGTCAGCTATTATGTCAGCTGTCATATATTCCTTCTTTACTATAATAACATTTTTATTGTAACCATTTAGTCAACTTACTTTTTACCATTTTTCCAGTTTCTTATTTTATATTGTCGGGTAATGTATTATATACAAGCGGCCGCCCGCAACTTCGTACGCGTGGAGTTAGAAATAAAGGTTCACTGCTCGTTCCCCGTAGGTGATAGCGTGATAATATGTTGCCTATATGTTGACCCGACTTCTTAATAATATTCGTGCCTTTGAAGTAAATCCATGCAGTACTTTTTGAGTTAATCCCGGACATACTCGTACATGCAGACAAACAGAAAAAAAATCTAACAACTATATTTTTGGCTTCGGTAACGATTGCAGATCACACCCCAAATATTCTTTTAAAAAAATATTCAATGTACAGTTTTGACTTTCCTACCGTTTTATTATATGTATAGATACATACATATTAATATGTCGGCGGATGGCGTCACACTCGCTCCTTCGAAACGTTAAACCGACATCAAATGTCATCAGTCTGTGTACCATTGCTTTGTGAAACGTCAAGTAATGACAGTGACAGCTATCATCACTTGGGAGTGGTCTATGCTAATAGTAGTATTTAAGGGGCTATGCTTCATTGGAAGGGGCATTCAGCATTTAGACGTGAGCCGCGATAGTGAACGGACTTTAGCACAGAACTCTCCACGCTTCGCAAAGCAATCTGTTTGTACCTTTGCAATCATTGCTGATTTTGTAAAGTGATAAGAAGATTCAAATTAAACTTTAGCTGTGTCACTTGACTACAGTTTTATTTTCGGGAAATGTCATTGAATAACCAAGATGGCGGATCAAGACAAACCACGTGGACAACCGCCTATCCCGCTCGCCCCTCCGAGAAATATGTTTTAAGCATTAACTCTATATATATGCGTGGCAAGGAGGCTGATATAATAAGTTTCTATATTGACTTCTCGTGTGTCTATTGCTCATTTCTACATGCTTCTCGAACATTTCTCGAAATACTTGATGTGATCCCTGACAAAGAAACATACTTCCTTTATGTACATGCAGGGCAATGGAAGTATTTCAAAATTTTAATTCGGTTTGCACTCTTTGAACTTTTGCAAATTCAAATTTCGAATTCAAATTCAAATCATTTTTATTGCGAATACAGGTTATTGTGTTGTGTACAAACATACAAATTATATTAAGTTCAGCCATATTCTGTCTTGTTGACATTTGCAATTTGCTGTCATCGAATTTTTGACCGAAATCTCCCAATTCCATCCATATGAAAGTTCTGAGCATCTCTGGCTCTCATCTATTAGCTAATGAAAATTGTCCCAAGTGCCTAACATAATTATAAATCTTTCACCTTTCTCTTTTCTTAATTCTAAGATGAGCTCGGTGGCGCAACTGGTTAGCGCGTATGATGAGGAGCTCGATGGCGCAACTAGTTAGCGCGTATGATGAGGAGCTCGATGGCGCAACTGGTTAGCGCGTTCGGCTGCGATCGTTGAAGTTAAGCAACTTTCGCAGTGGTCGGTCATTGGATGGGTGACCAAAAATTTACTATCTCGAGCTCCTCCGTGCTTCGGAAGCCACGTTAAGCCGTTGGTCCCGGTTGCATCTGCAGTCGTTAGCACCCACCAATCCGCACTGGGCCCGCGTGGTGGGTCATGGCCCAATCTCCCTATTCCATCCATAGGGAAGGCCTGTGCCCCAGCAGTGGGGACATTAATAGGCTGATGATGAATCCTAAGATAAGCTCGATGACGCAAGTGGTTAGCACTTTCGGCTGCGATCATCGAAGTTAAGCAACTTTTGTAGTAGTCGATCATAGGATGTGTAACCAAAAATTTACTATCTCGAGCTCCTCCGTGCTTCGGAAGGCACGTTAAGCCGTTGGTTCCTACTGCATCTGCAGTCGTTAGCTGAGTGCTAAGTGCCACTGAGCCCGCGTGGAGGTCATGGCCCAATCTCCCCATTTCCAGCCACAGGGAAGGCTTGCATTCCAGCAGTGGGGACATTAACAGGCTGATGGTGATCCTAGGATAAGATTAACGCCATTCGGTATAGGCCACCCCGTCTAGGGATTGCCTAGTACCCTAGCGCAATCCCCCAGAGGCGTGTCGCCCGGTCCCGAGACGCCCCCCTCAAGGGCGTAGGAGGGTACCGGTGGTTTTTAGTGGATAGGACCGGTGCTGTTCCGCGCCGGGGAGTCCCACACACGTCGCGCATCTAGCCAGCGCGCGGTATGGTCCGTAAATGGATTTTCCACCGTTAACAAAAAAAAGGATAAAATTAACGCCATACCAGAGCGGGCGTGAGCGGCGCGGTGATAGACCCAAGTCTCCCGATCATCGAGGAGAAGGCGAACAGATTGTGGCGATACTTGGTGGGGTACAGCTCGGCGGTGTACACGTACACTGACGTCATCACCACCGCTATCGCGTACTTGCCGATCAGGTACAGGGCCATCGACACGCCCTCGTTACCTGGAAACATTAGCAATAGAAATTTAATAATAAAGAAAAGTTTACTAGAAAAAAATCCACGCGGACCAGGCAGCGGACGGGACTCGAACCCGCATCCTTCGCTATCCGGGCGAATGCACTGACCATTATGCTACCACGGCCCTGTTAGCCGCGTCGAAATTTTCCTAGCCTTAAGCTACAAAAGCGGCTAATAGGGCCGTGGTAACATAATGGTCAGTCTGCGTGGATTTTTTTCTAGTAAACTTTTCTTTAGATTTAAACATCTAGCAGTTAAATGCTTAAAAAAAAAATCATAATTTAATAATAGTTCGTTCATATGGAAAGCTAAAAGCTGCAGGCACAGCTAGTTTTGTAATATTTTCGTCTAATAGCCTATTCCACTGGGGGCTCTCTTGATAGTATAATATCGTTCCTAATGTTGATGTATTTCTGTCTATAGACTTAAGTTTACCGACTATTCTACTGTTAAAAATTAACCAATAAATGTACCTTCGGGTAAAAACGCAAACGCAAACTGGCAAGCAGCGCACAACCAATAAGCGCCGATCAAAACTGGCTTCCTCCCGATGCGATCCAGCAGGAGAATAGCCGTCCAAAATCCAGGAATTTCTATGGCCGCCACGATCACATAGTTCATGTAAGAGTTTCCTGACAGGTTCACCGCGTTTATGTTCATGCCATAGTAGACCAGAGTGTTGGTGATCCACCAGATTGGAGTCACCAAGCAGCGTGATAAGATCACCCGCGATTTCAACACCAGAATCGGTAGCCACTGTTCTTTGGGTTTCACCATCAACTTTTCCGCTTCAGCAGACGCTCGAAGCGCTTCCAAAGATTTATCTGACAATTCTTTCTTGTTCCACTTGGCTACCTTCTTGAGAATCTTCTCTGATTCTTCGTAACGACCTTTGCTCATCAGCCAGCGTACGGATTCTGACAGGATCCAGAAGTATGATACGACGAGAAGTTGCGGTGCGTACAGCACCATTGTCAGTGGTCTCCACTGAGGAAGCGCCTGAGCAATGAATCCTAATATAACTTGCCCCACGGCGAACATGGTTGACATCGTTGCACCAGCAATCACCCTGTACTTGGGACCAACCAGCTCCGTCACTGGAATGAGAGAAAATCAAGTTGTTATTGACGATTCTAGTTCCACTAAGTTTTCTGAATTACCAGGTAGATATATTGTTTTAAACTTTCATGGTCACTAACATTATAGCTATTAACGGGATTGTTACCATGTACCTTGTTTTTTATGAGTCACAGTCTTTCGTATGTGCAAAAACCGTAAAAATCAAAAAAGTGTCGTTCCGCGATCGGATGCTGTGAGTATTGTGTGTCGGGAACAGGTGCGAGTGAATAGTCAGAATGTGACCAATAGTAGGGGTATCGAGCGCAGTAAAAGACGACGTCAGAGGGTAGACCGATATGTCTGCCAATAACATCTACCCGCAATTACTTCAGTTACTCCGTGATCATGGCGCTTGCAACAGTTCCGAAATATCGGAGACTCATACAAAACAAGGTACATGGTAACAATCCCGTTAATAGCTATAATACCAGGTAGATGTTTTCAATTTTAATCAAAATGTGTTTTTTTTCATACAAGCCAACAATGTGCTACGTCGGATTTTTTTAATGTCTACTGTCGTTGACTTATCATTATAAAACTATAATTCTATCAGTTGATACCATGGAGTAAATACACGGTATTACTATATACTAAGTAATAAGGTTTTGGCCAAGTTCATTCCTAGAAAAGGAGACAACTTTTACTATTGCTATATATACGTCGTTGAGAATGAATTCTTTAAAGTCCTTTGATCACAGATTTTACTTGAAATGTAATGAGCTACTTATGTAAGGCAAGGAGGATCGAGACTAGAAAATAAAGGCTACTAGATAAAGGAATAAAGACAATATGAAAACGAGCATTACGAGGCTAATTATTAGAAAGGTCTGCTAAAGAAACTTACTAAAAAAAGTACTCTATCCAGGTGTCAGGCTAGATTCTCATTGGTGCAGCAGTAAGATTAAAGCAAAGATCGGACAGTTTAACATAAAATTATTGAAGTGAAACTTCTTTATCGGCGTTGGAAAAAAATTTACCGTCACATTTTTTCGGTTACGCGTCACATTTTTCCGTTACGCGCCATCTTTTTTTATATTAATAGTTGATAGCTGAATGATCACACTGTCGCCGGCGAGAACTCTCTCTACTCGTTTGTAGCTGAGTGACAATAGTTATTAAAGATAAGACTCGCTCAGCCAAACTCGCATAGCGATACTCGCTCAGCGATACTCGCTCAGCGGTACTCGCTCAGCGATACTCGCTCAGCGATACTAGCTCAGCGATACTCGCTCAGCTATACTCGCTCGGTTAAGCTGGCTTGGCTGTCAAAAGCCGTGCGCGTGCATTTTAACTCAGGACTGCCAATTCGTTTCTAGTTTCTACTCGCTTATCGTTCATCGTCGGAGGTGGAACATGTGCCTTAGATTACTGAGCCGTGTAATCATAACAGTTTCATAGGCAGTAATTTGTATTCATGTCTATGATAATAAAATCCTTTTGTTTAAACTTTATCTAATTTAACTTTATTTAACCAATTTCTGGAAAGTTGCATGTAGATCATTTTTCGAAAAATAAGGCCATAAAGAAGTTTCACTTCTTACGTGTGTACACTAGTACACGCACACATTTTTCATAAGTTTAGCTAGTTTTCCATAAAAATAATGCTTACCTAAAATATAGCAAGAGGAGAAAGCGCCAGCGCCGACAGCGGACTCCAGCACCTCCAGCGCCAGGAACCACTCGTAGGAGTTGACGAAGGCGCGTACAAGCCCAATCCAGCCCGTGTTGAATGCGTTGATGGTGAGCGCCACGCGCCGCCCCCAGCGGTCGGAGATGTAGCCCGTGATGGGCAGCACCAGCAGCGTGCCAATCGTGCGGATGGAGCCGATCTGAGACCGCCGCCATTCGTCGCATGCTAGCCCAAACTGGAATTAGTATTCAAATTACCTACTAAATCGAATAGTACACAACTATTCGATTCCAGAGATGTTTTCTTCCACGGATTTTAAAGTTATGGTATGTGTTCTCACAGTGCTTCCCCTTCAAATGAGCCTTAAAACAGTGTTTCATACACGAAAGGTATTGCTATGACAGTGTTGCGGTCCACTTAACGTCTGCTCGTCTGCCCTTAAAGGCAAAAATAATTTGAAAGGGTAAGGCACAGCGTATTTTAGTTCAAATTTGAGCGTCATTAAAGTATTCTGCAGTTAACACGAAATCGGAGATGAGTAACAATATTCTAAAAATTGCCAGAAGGCCACAACTATTCGTTTCCCGAAGTCCTTTTTTTTAAGGATAAATAAAACTATGGAATGAGCTCTTTGAGTCATAAAACTGAGGGAGCACCATCAGACTCAGAGAGCTCACGGATACAGCCTGTGTAATGTTTTCTCGGTTTTATTATATGGTTTTCTTCAAGCGAGGCTTAAAAAGAGTGTTCTACGAATGGCAGCAGTGAAGGAGCTGAAGATTTCAAGATCTCAAGTTTGGCCTTATCTCTATGACCGGCTATTACGAACTTGCATACCCTCCATGATCGCTAAGCGAACACACAAACCACTGATCCATGAAGCTCCTTAGGTTATTGTTAAATTATGATATTAAACTTATCATTTCTCTCCGGGCAAGTCAACTTGGAAATTAAAAAAGGCTTACATCGTAGACGACGCTAATGGTATTCTGGTAGACGTAGCTCTCGCAGCCTTCCACCGTGGTGACGTCGAAGAGCCTGGCGGGGCAAGTCTCCCCAGGCTGGATGTCCTGGATGGTGCTGTTCGCGAACCGGGAGCACTGGTCCAGCCTGCCACCGCTAATGGTCGGGATCGCGTTAGATACCCAGGAAGCGGAGAAGTCTGGGTTGGGGCCATCGCATTGGGGAATTAGGCACCTGGAAAAAATATCAGGAAGACCTTAGACAATTCAAAGTTTTAGATACAACTAGCATCTAAAACTTTGAATTGTCTAAGGTGACGAACGGGAGTTAAGGTAGTACCTTTCATTATGATTGCATGCCTTATTAAATATACGAATGCTTATATGATAGTCGGTAATATTTACAATCTCTGATTGATTATTTGAAAACGATGTACCTATTTTATTAAAACTGTAGTGCCACTAAAATATAAAATTAAATCCAAACGAAAAGAAAATTACTCATTTTCGTTTTGCAAATGATTCTAGCATCCACAATGTCCACAGTTTACATCATTTGACGTTGTCAGGAATAAATTAGCAACATTATTATTGCTAATGTCTTTGAAGTCGATAGCCATTGATCGACTGCCTATATATAAAAAGAATACATTAAAAAGTATAAATTCTTCATCGTTATCTTTATCAAACATTATTAAATTAAAAACCACAATTTTACTTTTATCAGTACCGCTTATTCTAAACAAAAGTTTGATAAGAATATGTCAAGGTGCGTTGGTGTCCTTTATCGGCAATAATAGGTATTCAATTAAGTACAAGCTAAGATTAAAATCGTAAGTAGCACGTTCATTTATCAAATTTAAAGTGACCAATAGATGATTATCGGCAGTCCCACGACGCGATTATGTTTCGAACAGAAAGATTTTACAAAATATTAAGAAGGGACGCAAGGGGGCCCACACAACACCTTTCGGGTCCCAAGCCAACCTCCCCTGCAAGCGGTGCGTCCTGCTGTATAACAGACGAGGCCCTAGCGAAACCACCCACCGACCCGCACTGGACCAGCGTGGTGAGTTACGGTCCAAACCCCCCCTACATGATGAGTACAACATTGTACCTGCCCCCAGTTCCCGGTAGCCTTGCTATTCGAGGCCAAGGCGGCGGTCTCGGTTACGGCAGGGCAGGGGGTGCTAAGAATCTCTGAGCTACGGTAGGCCGCCAAAAAATACTAAACTTAGCGACATAAAACGGTCGTACGCTACGGCTCGACTCTCACCTAACACAACTGGAGAAGGAGCTGCTGGAGTGGGCTGGATGAGAGTAGCACAAAATCGGGAGCAGTGGCGAGCACTAGGGGAGACCTATGTCCAACAGTGGACGAACATGGGTTGATGGTGATGATGAAGAAGAGAAGAATTTTCGTGGATTTTAGAATGCTTAAATTATGATGTCTGTATGGGGAAGCCTCCACATTACCAGAAGACCACCACAACGAAATACACTGCTTTTGGATAATGTTAAGTTTCTGTCGTTAAATAAGGTTCCAGGGGTTTTTTTGCCGCTTATCTATATGCGGTATACCGCTTATATTTAACATCAGGTGGGGTAAGGAATATGCATGTAATTCAAATAAGTCTCATTTTACTATTATATAAACTCTATTACCTTTTAGTTGTCCCTCCTACAATATTTGTAATAATATTTCTATTCGAGCAACAAATTGAATTACTATTATTTACATAAGTAATTATATTAACAACATATACATACGTACATACAAAATATTTAACATTAAAAATTAACCCTAAATATGTATATACATATTCACAAGAAGAATATGTCATCCAAAATTCCAATTTGGGGCATGGTACCCGGAACACTGGCAGCATTACCTCGCTGAACGGCTAAACTGATTCTCTGCGCGAAATAGCTGCCAGCCCTCTGATCACCTGAAGAGAGAATCAGTCGATTCGACATATCCTTCTTAAACCGCTTCATATCAGCCGACCATGACCCTAACGTCTCGAAAGCTAATTCCGAAAACTCATAATCTTCAGTTATAGAAGAAATTAATTATATAAAAGTGCGAAAAACTTGTGGGCAATTCGAATATTTGAAACGCGACGAGAGCGGTTGTGGCGTTGAAATTTATACCTAACAATAAACAAACGTGATATTCGTGTATGGACGTAGATTTTTTTATACTGTATAAAGGGGATGTAAACTACTAAATAAAAATATCAAGCATATTATATAAGGCTAAGCAAATAAGCCTTATATTGAGAGTTCCAAGAGATAAGATACAATGAAACAAGGATAGGAAATCTAAAGAAAATATAACTAGAAAAAATTCACGCGGACCAGGCAGCAGACGAGACTCGACCTTCGCTATCCAGGCGAATGCACTGACCAAATATGCTACCGCGACCCTGATGGCCACTTCGAAATTCTTCTAGCCAATCCTAAGCTGCAAGGCAGCGCCATCTTTTCGCATTGTAGGTAACCCACAATAAAAATTATAAGAATAGGAAACTCGAGAGTTTTCACAAAGAGACTGAAATTATGAGTTCATTTGAAAGAAAAAGAAAACAATATATATTCTAATCATTTGACATTGTGGGTTACCTATAATGCGAAGAGATGGCGCTGCCTTGCAGCTTAAGAATGGCTAGAAGAATTTCGACACGATCCGTGAGGGCTGCGGTAGCATAATTGGTCAGTGCAATCGCCCGGATTGCGAAGGGTGCGGGTTCGAGTCCCGTCTGCTGCCTGGTCCGCGTGGATTTTTTTCTAGTTACATTTTCTTTAGATTTAAACATCAAGCAGTTACATGCTTTAAAATAATAAAAATTATGAACAATATATATTTTCTTTCTGTAAGTAGCTCTTTTTGTGTTTATTATTGCCAGGATAGAGTTTGTATAAAATAAAATAAAACTAATAACAGAAAAATAAACGGCGGAACGAACTTTGAAAAAATAAACTGTTACGGTGTGCAAAAATGTCTTCAATGCCTTTTCATTTGATGCCATACTGGCTTAGCAGGCGGAAACCAATTATAAATTTAATTATTTCGATTCAATTGTAATTAAAAGTAAAATTTTTGGGGGGGAAATTACGTACCTATGCTATAGTCTTCTTGAAATCATAAGAACCAAAGAACTAAAGTGCTGTACTTTCTAATCAGACGTTTAAAAACGTATATCCAAATGAATACATCATCAAAACACAAAAGTCTCCCAAATAGCATAATGTTTTTTGCCCTTATTTTAAACGATCGTCTTGGTACTTTTTTTTCTTGAGTGTGTATGCTGTTGGTCGCAGATGAACTTTACAGCGTCACCGGGTTTGGGGACGGCGAGATCCTAAGGGGACCTCAAGCCGAGAATTGGCGAGTGCCTCTAGAGGTATTCCAGTCGGATGGCGTCTCCCCACGGGGGGAGTCTCCTCTCCGTCTGGAGCCTCCAGACCAGTCGAACCTGAGGGGGTCGGCTCAACTAGAGGGCGTCTCTGAGACTCGGACCTCGGCTCTAGTTAGCCGTTGTCGTGGGGGGCGGGGAAAAACGCCCAGGTACGTACCTGTACCTGGTATAGCGTGTAGTGTGTAGACCGGGTCTTCGCACTCTTATCCTACGGGTGCGGTGTCTGGCTAATGTCGGCTTGGTACTGCTCAGATTATGTGAAATATTGAATCTTACTCGTTTCACGCGGTAAGAGAATTAATAAACATTGATACGTTACCGCAATTACACTTACTTATACGTATTCTTTGTATACAAAGTAATATAATTTTTTGTCATGATAATGATTGGAAAAACCGGCCAAGTGCGAGTCGGGTTTACAGACGAAGGGTTCCTTAGCATCATAGAAAGCCAATAATATTTGCCCGCAAGACCAACCCCAATGCTTGCCTTGCCTTTATATTATTTAATTTTCCTTTTTTCAATTATAAAAATTATATAACTGGTGGTTTTTGACATTCTCTTCTTAGATAAAGGACCCAGTCAAAAAAACAGTGTTACTGCACACTGCACTGACACAATTCTGAACCAAGGCGTAAGCTCGAATTTTGACAGTTCCGTAATCGTGTCGTCAGCGTCATATTTTGTATGGGAAAAGCTAGTTTGTTCTTACGTCCGGTAGGGGCGCAGTATAGTTTTCATAGAAACTGACCTGTCAAAATCCAAGTTTGGGCCTCTGGGCCCTTTTTAGCGCCGCTATGGATACAGATAGGGCCTACACATCAAGTTGTATATATTTTAACTTGACTGTCCCTTTTCGTTCTTTTGTTTTAAACTAGCGGCCCGCCCTCGCTTCGCTTCGGTGTAGAGCTGAAGTGTAGACTACAGTTTTTGTTCTCAGGCTTGTATTATACACAATGACATTCATCTATGATTCTCTTATACCTGCATGCAAAGTCTCAGCCCGATTGGTTTAAAATTGACAAAGTTTCATACAAAATTTCTTTCATTCCCTATTTTATCCCCTTGGGGGTAGAATTGATCAAAAACCTTTCTTAGCGGATACCTACGCCATAACATCTACCTGCATGCCCAATTTCAGCCCGTTCCGTGCAGTGGTTTGGGCTGTGCGTTGATAGATCACTATGTCCACCTATTTCAGTCAGTCACCTTTCAGTTTTATATACTCGTATATATAGATTTTAACTTTTTATCAGTCTCCGTGTACTGTGCTGAATTAACGATTTTGATTTGATATATTCATTTGTGCTTTGAATTGTTTGTCATTTCTTTCGAATCATTTGTAATTTTAATTCTTTTTCATTTGTTTCTGTACACTTACCTAGTAGGTATCCTGGCTGTCGTGAAGATATATTCACCAGAAGCGAACGCTGAGAATATCACGGGCACAGCCGCCAAGAGCAAAGTCACCAGCTGATACCTTCCGAACTGGCCCACTTCCTCAACCAAGATTGAGTCCAAATCTACACTAGTCTTTTTACCACCATCGCTGATTGACTCCACGCCTTTTTCCTCCGAAGCCATCACAAAGAACCTACACTCTTTGAATCCGCTATGAAAATATTTTCTTAGGCAACTAGAAAAGAAATCGCCGCGTGATAAATTCACAGATAAATTATTGCGCTTATCGATATCTTTATATTGCCCGAAAGTTATTTACAATTAATACTTTTATCGCGTGTGATTATTTCAAGTCAACAAGAGATCATGTCTTTAATCTTAATAATGTTATTATTAATTTTCCGAAAGCGATATTTTGAAAGAACAAAAAGTTTTTGTTCTTTGAAAATATTATAAACAATTTAAATACTATAATTAAACAATTTAATTAATAGAAAAGATCACAAAGTTTTTACTTTCACTAGATTACGAAAAAACTGAGGAATTGGTTGCCACGGCCCTATAAATATAAATGCTTATGATTATATATACACATACGCACTACACACATATACACACACACACGCACACTTTTCAATAATTTGGAAAATATTTTTGATTTGTTTAATAGCCCAATTCGAAAATTCTTGTATAAAGCGGTCTATGCATTCATACATTGACCGACGTATTTCTTCTTGAATTGATAATCCAGCATCATGAGCTGATTCACCCGGAAAAGAACGATTTCTTTTTACCTTCACTTTTACTGGTTTCTTGATGTTGATGAACCACCTAAATACTTATTCAAATTTATACTAGAGTCATTTTTGGAGACCGCAAATATTGTTAGACTTAAATAGAATGTAGTGAATGTAAATGTATGCGTTCAAGAGTAAATTATTTGCACTTCATTCATTCAGGGATTCCTGAGGAGGTACCCGCTACAAAGACGGGAATTGCCCCAGCGTATTGGATGCGTTCAGCAAAGTTAAATAAATATTAGTACCGCGTACAAAGTCTAGATTACTGTAGTGTTTTGATCTTGATGAAATTATGTATAATTATGCTTAGTACCTAAGCACATTTTTAAAGTCTTGTTTAGGATTTGATCTGGGGAACGCAGACTCATTTGGGGGCCCCCCGAGATCGGAGGCCCGGGGCGGGCCGCCCCTTCCGCCCCCCTGTTAGTCAAACAGCCAAAACACAAGATGAACTTCCTAGTTTGGCTGAGGATATCTATATATAGGTGCTTTGTGTGAAATAATGGCCTTAGTTTTAACATTTCATTTATAAGAATCTTACCATGTACATTTTTTTACAAAAGTAAATATATTATTATTATTATAATCTAATTGAGCTAAAAATTTGGTAGGTTTATTCTATTGCTACGGCCACACTTGTTGTTCTGTATATTTATTTATTTTAAACTTTGTTGACCATAACACAATAGAATGGTACAAAGGCGGACTTAATGCTAATAGCATTCTCTCCCAGTCAACCTTTGGGAAAAAAGAAAAACGCGAACGGCATTTTGTGTACATGTTCTGAGGAGTTATTCTCCCTTATCCCTCCATCACCTTTTCTTCAGAGGACCACACGCGCTGGCCTACTTTTCCACCGACTTACCGTGGCCACTATGACTACACGAACAAAGAAATTTGGTGACTCATTTCTTTGTCGTACTGTTCGTAAGTGGAATTCTTTGCCCGCGCACGAGTTCCCTCCTTGTCCTTTAAGAGAGACGTGAAGAAGCATTTTTGCAGGCCTGTAAGGTGAGGATGGTTGGTGTGGCAGTTTATAACTGCTGTAACTGATATCTTCGCGTTTGTACTTTATCACCACTCAACGTCAAGTGGGGTAGAGTCATTTGCTGACCTGGCTATATAAAAATTAATCAGTGTCGCAAAAATTATCCGTTTTTACGACAAGTCATAGTCACATTTTAGAACACGGTCAGAAATGTGACTATTGCTTAGTTAGATGTGTCATGAAAACGGCAAATGTTGGCGTTAGTGCAATAGTGTGACATGAGAGTTCTGTTATAAATGTTTGTAATAAGGATAACACGATTTGTGTTCTTGCTTTCTTTATTTTACATCTAAATAATAGTCATAAATATCTATACATAAGTCATAAAGTTTTTCCATTTCAACTTTAATTTTATCATAAACATACAAATGATGAAGCATTGGTTGTAAGAAGAATTCAATAATTAAAGCCGGAATCTTAAAAACGGAATTTCTATTTCAATATGATGAGTATAAAAAATAGGGTATAAAATAGAAAACATCACGTTTATATTATTATCTGTACCCTTAGCACGAACCAATATCGAATTCGTATCGTTTGCGAGTCCGAAATGTCATTGTCAAATGTGTACTGATTTTAGTTCTCGTTACGTGCTTTGTGATGCTGCTGTTCAAGTTTCCATACAAAATTTAACATTGACATTTCGGTTTGCAAACTACTATTCGAATTCGATATTGCTTCGTGCTAAGATACTGTACAGCATACAATTGGCGATACATAAATATGTACTTACTAATCCAAATAAGCTTGAACAATATACAATGTTAAAAGGAGAAGGAACTAACTAAAGAAAAAAAAAGAAATCAAACCACCTATTCCATTTTTAAACTAGGAAAAACATAATAATATACTTATGTTTACATAAAACCAAAACGATAGCGCGTTTCAATAGACTATTCCTGCCATCTAGTGTACAAAATTTTAATCTGATTCTTAACATACACAATTAGTTTACATTTCATTTAAGGGCACACTTTCTAGCACTATCTATCCAATAAATAAGACCTTTCGCAAATTCGTAATACACTTTTAAACTTCCGCATGACTTTGATAAACACTGGCGAATTTTCTTTGATTTCCCTTAAATTACAGTAATTTTCGGGCTTGCTACCATTTACCTTATTCTTTCGCGAGTTACCAATATTTCAGCACTATCGCGAGTGCTATGATCACCATGTAGTAATAAAGAGGATTTACAGAAAACTAAGCTATAGGTAGCAATCCCGCCATTAGTATCATCAACAGCCTATCCTAGTCCACTGCTGGACAAAGGCCTCTCCAAATGCACGCCACTCAGATCGATCTTGGGCTACTCGCATCCAGTTCCTGCCAGCCACCTTGCGCAAATCGTCACTCCATCGTGCCTGAGGACGTCCTACACTACGTTTGCCTAGACGCGGTCTCCACTCCAGAACTCGTCTACCCCAACGGTTATCGGTTCTTCGGCAAATATGGCCAGCCCACTGCCACTTCAACTTGCTAATCCGGTGGGCTATGTCGATGACTCTGGTTCTCTGTCGGATTACCTCAGCTCTGATGCGATCCTTCAGAGAAACGCCGAGTATAGCCCTTTCCATAGCGCGCTGAGCGACTTTGAACTTGTCGTTAGTATAATATTAGTGATCATGACAGCTTATAACAATATATCCCTTGCGTTTCTGAGTCGGGGAGTTGATAGAGCCAGTGAAGATAAGATAAATACATATATTTGTTTCTTATGTTTTCACGCACACCACTCATCAAATAAAAATAGTTTCAACGGTATAGATGCACTGATTTATTTATTAATTGACGTTTCGCATCCTTTACAGCCTGCGTCGTCAGAATTATTGCATCATTCGTTATTTCAGAATTATTCAGCTGACGACGCTGCCTGAAAGGGGTGCGAATCACCACTTTTTTTTAATTTCTATCTTATTATAAAATTCTCGTGTCACAATGTTAGTTACCATACTCCTCCGAAACGGCCTCACCGATTCTTATGAAATTTTATATGCATATTCCGTGGGTCTGATAATCGGCTACTATCTATTTTGCATATCCTTAAGTGGTAATGGTTGTCCACCTGTAACGTAGTGTCCTGCAACCTACAATGCGCCTTCGCACCAAAATTCAAACTATTGGGCATTGTAACGTAGAGTTTTCATATGGTTTAGGAGGAATGTTATCCCAGGAAATTGATAGAACACTACGTTACACAACCCTAAATTGTTTTTTGGACAATATTCATTTTTTTTATAATGTGGTATTAAAAAATACATACAACCCTAAATTTTCGCTTCTACCACCTGCCCCTATTTTTATGGCGGTACGAAGTTTGCTGGGCTGATAAATATAATTATCACACATATCATAACACCAGTTGGTTTTTATTTATTTGTAAATATGAGAAGCTGTGTGATCTGGATTTGTTAGTATTCAAAGCCAGTGTCTGTCTCTCTCGGCTTAATGATGCCCAGTCGAGAAGCCAGCGTGGCCACATTCGCTAAAAAATAATTCTACTAATTCGTTATACACTATCAAACTTCCACACGACTTAGATAAATACTGGCGAATGTTATTTTCGATGAATAACCTAAGTCCCACGTCAGGGAGTTGATGGAGTTTAGTATTCAGGGTCAGTATCTGTCTCTCTCGGCTTGATGATGCCCAGACGAGTAGCCAGTGCGGCCACATTAGCTCGCACTTCTTCCTGCACCAGGTTGAAGGACATAGCCAGGAGAGCGATCCCAAACAGGAGGTACAGGGAACACAGAGCTATCGAATGGACGGCAGCTGCTGAATCTTCCATATTCTGACCCTGAAAGATGATTATTTTACTCATTACTGTATTGGATTAAATAGAAGTAACTTTCGGAGTGGACGGTCATTGGATGGACTAAAAATCTTCTATCTCGAGTTTCTCCGTGCTTCTGAAGGCACGTTGAGCTATGGGGTCATCCATAAATTACGTCACACGAATTTCATGATTGTTTGCTCCTCCCCCCGTCCTTGTCACAGCTGGTCACATTTGTGAGACTCCCCCCCTCCCTAGTGTGACGTCACATATTGTGCAAATTTACATTTAAAAATTATTGAATGAAAACAACGGTTCTGAAATCAGTTTTATTTCCATTTAAATTGTTTTTTAATAATATAAACATCAAATCAAACAATTAACAAAAGAAAAAACGATTAATTATATTAATTAAAGAAATCTCCAAACAAAAAATAATTGACTATGTTAATTAAATAAATTAACAAAACAAAAAACGATTGACATCATTAATTAAAGAAATTAACAAAACAAAAAATATTAATAGAATTATAATTAAATTAAAGATACAAACTTAATAATCGTAAGTCCATGGACACTGAACCAACTCCTTTAAATTATTTATAACTGGCATAACACCACTTTGTTCTCGTTTGGGTTGTTAATGTTTTCGTAAAGTAAAAGTTTCAACACTTCGATTATAATCGATTTTGAAATGTGATGTCACGAAATTTAGGACCCCTCCCACCCCCTTGTCACACGATGTCACACTTCGTCGACCCGCTCCCTCCCCTTAGCGTGTGACGTAATTTATGGATGGCCCCTATTGGTACCGGCTGCATCTGCAGTCGTTAGCCCCCGCCAATCCGCACTGGGACCGCGTAGGTCATGGCCTCATCACCATATTCCATACATAGGAAAGGCCTGAGCCCCAGCTGTGGGGATATTTTTAGGCTGATGATGATGATGATGTATTGCATTAAAAGAAAATCAATGCTGACATTTTCGAGGAATCATAGAAACCTTTTCGGAGAACGTTAAAAGAAGGACAACATGGAAGCACATTACCACCCCAGCTAATATTGTGTTTAAGTATGCCACTCCAGAGTTTCTAATCTTGCCGACTTGAACCCAATACCCAACCCTGTGAAATCCTGGTATTTATATTACCAATAGAAACTTATTTTATTGTGATCTTCTGTAAGGTAAAGGTCCTGTCATTTTGTAATAAAAGAACTTAACTTTGACAAATTTTATATTGTAGGTATAAGAACATTGTATCACAACAAAAACGAAAATGAAAATTGTAATAATTATATCAACCTCGATCTTTAGATTAATCATACAAACCTGCGCAGGCACAAAGTCCCCGAAGCCTATAGTAGTGAGTGTGATGAAGCAGAAGTAAGCCGCGTCCAAGTACTCCCAGCTCTCCCAGCGTTTGAACAGGAATGTCCCTGCCACTATGTACGACGCTACCAGGAACACGCACAGCCAAATTGGCACCGGTTTTATCTAAATTAAACAATTCAATTAAGATGGTCTTCCATTTACGGCCACTTGCACTAACATTCCTAATTCATAACATACATCTCTCTATAACTTTGACAAAGTTAAAAATAGAGACACAATGAAGTTTAAGAGTTGAAACTGCGTTAAACGGACATCCGCACGGTTTCATACGATAAAATTGCTCGGTCACAGAGACCAGCGGGTAATTTTTTATGAAACCGCGCAGACGTTCGCCTAACGCAGTTACAACCCTAAACAAGATTAAGCTTTGAATTAATGTTGATGCAAGTGGCCCTTAGTGCAATAAAATCCTTAAATTCTAGCCATTAAGCGGTTTTCTCCATTTCTGTAATTTCTAAACTTATTTTTTTTAAAGATTTGTCAATGACTATCGTATTATCCTATCACTTTTTCTACTACTCGCACTGGTAGATCTTCAGTATAACTTTAAATCAACATAAGCAGAATAGGTCATCCCACGGCCCATCCAACATGTGGACTCAGTAAAGACTGGTGAATGCTAAAGACAGTAGGTTCAACAATGGCTTGACGTGCCTTACAAAAGTAGGAAAATTGAGAAAACAATATTTGGATGACCTTCCAATTTAATGTCATCCTTCGCAAAAATTTCATCGACTCGCTAGCATTCTCATCTTTCTCTAAGTCGATTTACTACGTGTGTGCTTTTTTTTATATGTGTGCAAGACTAGGTAGAAAAAACAATTCTTTCACTAGTAAAACAAGTTTCAAATTTGCTTTACTAACCTCTTCTTTAACAGGAGCTTCTATAGCATATATTTCTGATTGCCGAGAACCCCAACCTGGAAGAGAATTGACATTGAATTCATCAAAGAATTACGTATGTACTTACGCTTGTCATTAAGACAAGCATCGTGTTTCGTAAAATGAAAAATAATTGATTACCAGGTTGCCGATTTCTCCTTGGCATCGCAACAACTTCATCACTCCAGTCGTCTTGATCGGGAGATGGAGTCTGTAGAATAAATACAAAATCATCATTTTCTTAATTCGATAACGGTCTTAACAAATATGATGTGAAGCTAGGAAATGGTAGTTAGGCAGAGTTCAATAAAATAACATGGCTACGTTTAAAAATATAAAATAGTTACCCTAACAGTAGTATTAGGCCGAGACCTGTAGTCTGTAATGCTATTCTGTAAAATTATTACCCGGGATCCGCATCGGATGCGCGCGTTTCCCATACAGATTCGGGCGGATCCACATTGGATCCGCGCGTGAAAATTTTACAGAATAGCACTGCTGTCCATAATCGTCATCCAAGGGGATAGCATAAAAAATCTTACCAATGAAGTAATTTATAATTATCATTGCCAGCCTTTTAATGTCCCCCTTGCTGGGGCAGGTGCTTTGCTATTAATGGAATTGGGAGAATAGACAGCGTTATCTGTATCACTGTAATAAAGCAGGTACGTAATCCAAAAGTGTGGGGAAGACGAAGCCATCTTTAATAAGTTTCGATGTTGGTTGTTTTTACTGTCTTTCTAAAGAGAACAAGAATCATGAAATCAACTTTCTATGTGTATGATGTCTCACATAGTGCCGCTACGATCGAGCGGTCTTCTACTATGTGCAGGCGCTGCAGCCGATGCGGGGCGGAGTACTTTCAATGGTGCTCGTGGTCTGCTATACTCCATGCTACCAGCTGTCTTTTTACATTGTAAATGCTGTTTATCTCACATAGTGTCTGTAGGGTCTTGCGGTATCTTCCACTGTGTGTAGCCACCACAGCCAGTCCGGGACGGGATTGTACCAATGATGCTCCTGCTCCACCATACTCCAAGCTATTTTCATCATCATCATTTCAGCCGTACGACGCCCACTGCTGAGCATAGGCCTTCCCCAAGGATCTCCACATCGATCGGTCCTGTGCCACACTCATCTATCGGTTTCCTGCGATCTTCACCAGATCGTCGGTCCATCTGGTTGGGGGTCTTCCCACCGAGCGTCGCCCGGTGCGCGGTCGCCATTCGAGAACTTTCCGCCCCAACGGCCATCGGTTCTCCTGGCTATGTATCCCGCCCACTGCCACTTTAGATGAGCAATCCTTCAAACGATGTCGGTTACTTTAATACTCCTGCGGATTTGCTCACCTCATTTAGGTTATACCACACAGGGAAATACGAAGCATCGCTCTCTCCATTGCCTGCTGTGCGACCTTGAGCCTTCTTATGAGACTCATAGTAAGGGACCACGTTTCGCTTCTGTAAATCATCAATAGCAACATACACTGGTCAAAAGACTTCTGTGTTCAGATACTGAGGTAATTTGGACGCAAACATTTTACCTAGCTTCCCGAACTCTGCTACTTCAATAGCTGTCTTGTAACTTTATACATGCCGTTTATCTCACATAGTGTCTGTAGGATCTTGCGGTATCTTCCACTGTTTGTAGTCGCCGTAGACGGTGCGGAGTGGGGTCGTATCGCCGGTCGTAGAACTCGTCCTCCCAGCGAGGCTCGGGGTCCACCATGGCGCTGCGGGCTCGGCGACCGCGACGTCTCGATGACAGCTCTGGAGGCTGCTCATCGCGCTCGTAGTATTCCGAACGACCGCGATCAGCTCTGAGTGGAAGGAAAGAATATAAACTTAAAAGTAGGTCATTGGGACGCTTAAAAACGCTTTTTTATGCTTGTTTGCAAAACACATGTGGCGGCGACATCTACATGCCCCACATATAATCATCATGGCGCTACCGGCGCAAGTAAAATTCGGAGGCTAACACTCCATACATACGATGCCCGACCAATATCAGTCGGGTCGCGGCCCCCGAGCTACCATCATCCAGCTCGGAGGAAGATCTTACCCTTTGGCCTTCCTACATACAAAAGACTTTTATTGCGTTCATGATCATAGAAAAATCCGTTGTAATGGAATGCATAAATAGTTTCTAAATATTGTTTATAACAAAGCACAACAATAAATAACCGTTTTTAATAAGAATTGCGGTAAAAGCAAGACCGTAATGCATGGAAATCCCTTGAATAGTATATAATTAGATCCCATTACCTCCAGTCATAACGGGGTCTCCTATACCGCGGACTCTCGAACTCAACATCTTCATCCTCTGGATCGTAGCCGTGATCTCGAACGTTGTAATAATCATCTCGTTCCATAAATCTTCTGTCCCGCTCTTCTAGAGCTTTCTTTTCTCTATAATTCTCAAAGTCTACATCTGATAGATCGTGCATATTCTTGGGCTCTTCGTCGTAATGTCTTTGGTCGTCGAAATCTCTTCTTGGCCCGAAGTCTGTCTTTGTTTTTGATGGCCTCGGTAGAGATTTGCTGCGAAGATCACTCTTTGAAGTGATTTTATTTTGATGATCGTCCAGGTCTTTCAATGCTGCTTCTAAGTCTTGGAGCGGCAAAGATATTTTCGGGAATTCTGCTGCAAAAGATGATTATATTCAATCGAAATAAGCATGGACATGGTTAAAATAATAATAAGTAAGCATTTGAGATTTACCCTGTTCGTCGTGGTAGTTATTTCGACCGTATCTTTCATATTGGACTGGTGATACATCTTCTGGGTCTAAATCTTTAGCTCCTAGAAAGAAAAAAATATTACATTAATCTAGAAAATGAAAATAGTTCAAATGTTAGTTACTCCTTGTATAAGTTTAAGAATCATAAGATGTAAAGATATAATTTTACGTAAGACATTTATGATATGTTTTTTTTGGAGTGTACAGGTACGAGCGGCTCTTAAGCTTTCGTATTCGCCTAACGGAAATGCTTTGGAAAACGCTAACGCGTACGATTTCATTTTGTTATTTCTAGCCGCTTGAGGATTTCAAATGCCTCGCGCTCATTTTTTTCTTTTGCATTGATAACAAAAATGTAAAAAAAAATAGCGTGAGGTATTTGAAAACCTTCGGCGGTCAGAAATAACAAAATAAAATTGAAAGCGTTAGCGTTTTCCAAGCATTTCAGTTGGGCGGATGGCCCTCTGGGCCCTTTTCAGCACAGCCGTGAATACGGAGATAGGTGTCGATTCTGGCATGATTCTATTAACCTGGAACTGAATTTGGCATCGGTCACTCCTCCTCCTTTCGTTTTCTATAGATAGTGACAGAGACACACTGCTGTCAGGTTTAAGTTTGCGTTTGTTTGCTTTATTGTTATTTAAAAAAATATAAAAGTTTAACAATTTGTCTGTATCCGTGTATTGTGCTGAATAAACGATTTTGATTTGATTCGATTTGAAATGTGAAGGGCTCACCATACGCTCGTCCATACACGGGCGGGGGTTGGGAGCGAGTTCGCGCCTGCGGCGGAGCAGGCGCGTGAGTTTGCGCGGCCACGCGGGGCCGGCGCGCCCGCCCACTGCTGTACCCGCTGTCTCGGTACCTGTAATCATTAAACTTTAAATATCATGCGCAATCACTCCGGTCTCAATGAATCATTATTGGAGTTTACTCCTTAAGAATCGATTTGCATATATAAGGGGCCCGGTATGAGAAAAATGTGAGGAGTAAAATCTATCGATGAATGACATTAATGACCTCGTAACGTTTTTGTGCGCAACCTCATCTGCGCACCTTTCACTTTTAGCCATGGCAACGGATAAAAAAACATTAAGTTGTCACAAATGTCAATAAAATAAATAAACTGAAAATAGATAAAATCGGAGCAAAATTAATGAAAACAAATAAATAACAGAATATAGAGAAATGCCGGTAAGTGTCCAGTACTCTGGAATAGTGATTTTCAGTACAGATGGAATTATAATACATATTTACAAAATGATGACTAGTGTGTGATATTTTTGAAATTGTGTGTTTCCAGAAATACATAATAAATAGATGATAAAATGTGTGACATGGAACCTATGATAGTCGAAACCATGGGACGATTCCTGAGGTATCTTTACTTGTAACCGACTTCTTCGGACTTGATTTTGTTTTGTGTCTGTTCAAAGACAATCGTTTTTAGAGTGTAAACTCCGGTCGTGCGTCGGAGCTGACACACACAATTTTTTGAATGATCAAACGAACTTACCTAAGTAAAGGTCGATCTGAATTATCCTGTTGTCGCCGAAGAGATTTATTTTTCTTTACTTGCACTAACAGGATAATAGAATATCTAATGGGTCCCGCCACTGTTAAAGCAGCTTTCTTCCTTTGTTAACAGAATTCTAGACTCTAGACTACTGGACCTTTTTTTCTAATTTTTAAGAAGGCGGGTTCTTTGATTCTTTAAATTTAATATTACGCAACTTGTCAACTCAAGCACCATGATCTTTCGGACCACATCCAGTTAAAGAGAGCCGTGCGATAGGGGGATGCCATATGACCCACACTGTTCACGGCATGCCTAGAAGATATATTTAAGCTCTTCAACTGGTCTAATAGGGGTATCAACATAGGAGCCCTCTCGCTGCGGAGCATGGTGGACGCCATGCTCCGCAGCGACAGGGCGTGGGAGGCAGCCGCCTCCTTCTGCGAGAACATCATCTCGCAGAAGGAGGCGGCTGAGAGGGAGCGGGAGGATGATCCTCTGGCCGCTCCCTCCCGCCAAAGGAGGACGGGTAGGAGAGGACGGCGGCGCGCCCTGGCTGCGCCCGTCCCATGACCCTACCCGGGGGGTCCCTCGCTGACCGGCATGGCGATGGCCGTGCCGGGCACCGACGGACCCCGTGACGGCAGCCCCCCCTTGTAGTTCTGCCCTGCAAAGAGGGGGGCGGCGGAGGGAGCTACACGGGCACGCCCAAGTAGCCCTCCGCAGCGGACGGGGGGCGGTACGGTGGGCACTAGGCCGCGTACTCAGCCCCCACGCGCGGGCCTACCCGCGCACGTCTGCGGGGTCCCCGCGATACCCCGGGAGACCCCTGCCGTGGAGCCCCGGCTTGGCCGGGAGGCTGCTAGGTGCGGAGACGCGGAGAATCCCTAAACGGGGATCCCGCGGCTTCGCGCTAAGCAGCTTAGAGGGTATTCGCAGGACTTTTTTAGCGGATATTATACCGTAAAGCTCTCGTAAGAGTTGCGGGGTCCTCAGTGGGCAGCCACTGTGGGCTTCGTAAGACTTGCGGGAGCCAGGTGTGAGGTCCGTTCGGCGGTGTGCCTCTTAAAGGCGCCGTCGTCTGTAAATAGATTTTTTACCGGCGTATTAAAAAAAAAAAAAAAAAAAGGGGTATCAACATTAATGGAGAGCTCTTAACTCATTTTCGGTTCGCCGATGACATATTAGTCTTTGCTGAGACTCCAGTGAACCTACAATGTATGTTGCAAGAACTAAATGGCGTGTCGATAGCGATTGGTCTCCGCTACACCTCAAAACAAAGATAATGTCTCCGGATAGAATACATAGTAGTAGCAGAAAATCGTATCGAACGGGTGGAAGAATCTTTGTATTTGGGACCGCTCATTACACTAGATAAAAGCGGGCAGGCTAGAGAAATCGCCGGCCGTATTGGATTAGGTTGGGCGGCGTTCACAAAATTCCAACATTTTCAAAAGTAAATGCTTCACTTCCCCAAACGTCGCGCATTCAGTCATTGTGTTCTTCCTGTTCTACCTTAAGTATGAAGCCGAAACCTGGACTATGACAAAGCAACATGTACACACTATGCAAGTCACTCAGAGAAAAATGGAGCGTGCAATGCTCGGTATATCCCTGACAGATTGTGTACGCAATGAGGACACACGGAAGAGAACAAATCTACCCGACATTGCTTGCGAACTCTCAGAGCAGAAGAAGAGGCGAGCAGGCCACGTAGCTTACAGAACAGACGATAGGTGGATACGAGCTATTATAGCGTGACGCCCGCCAGATGGTCCGATGAGATCACTAAAGTAACAGAAATAAACTGGATCCGGGTCGAACAACACCGAGCAATTTCGTGCACCTTGGAGGCTTATGGTAGCCATAGGGTACGGCCAGAGTGCATTCAGATTCAGATTCAGACTCAGAAACCAAGCGCGAGAAATATACAGTGTAGTTTAAGCAGGTTGCCTGCTGCCACTATGGCCACCCTGCTTTAACTACATTGTTTATTTCTCGCGCTTGTTTTCCGAGTCTGAATCTGAATCTGAGTGCACTCTGGCTGTACCCATACACACTACGAGAAATCGTTACGATCAGACTGTACAGTTCGAACGGAACAGTTTATCGTACGTGGCGTACGTATAGGAAACTGTGCAGTTTTATAACATACACGCTACGATTTATCGGTACCGTCCGGACGGTACAGTGTAATCGTAACGATTTCTCGTAGTGTGTATGGCCACCATTATGGAGGAGACCTTTACCCAGCTGTGGGTAGGTAAAGATTGAAGAAGAGAAAAATATATAACTAGAAAAAATTCCACGCGGACCAGGCAGCAGACGGGACTTGAACCCGCACCCTTCGCAATCCGGGTGAATGCACTGACCAATTATGCTACCTTGGCCCTTACGGACCGCGTCGAAATTCTTCTAGCCATTCTTAAGCTGCAAGGCAGCGCCATCTCTTCGCATTATAGCTAACCCACAATGTCAAATGAATACTTTTACAAGTATTAAACATTTGATCTTTGGATTTAAACATCAAGTAGTTACATGCTTTAAAATAATAAAAATTATAAGTGTTTGGGCATAGATGTGGAGTCTTCTTCAATAAAAACTCGATGTTTTTAGTAATTTCTCTTTATGTAATAATGGATACAATTTACAAGTAAAAGTTTTCTTGAGAGAATGAATTTCGTAAGTCATGACATAATAGTCAGTAAAAACAGCCGAACACACGAACACGAGCGACATCTGACATCTGCGGGCGACATCCAATGACGTTTGTGCTAGGCGCGCTACAGTGGTATGATCCAATAGATGGCGCCACCCGTTATATAAGTGCAATTCTTTGCTATGATTTGTAATATTCCTTTTCTTTTATCTAATATATAAAATTCTCGTGTCGCGGTGTTTGTGGTTAAACTCCTCCGAAACGGCTCGACCGATTTTCGTGAAATTTTATATGCATATTCAGTAGGTCTGAGAATCGGATGTAATCTATTTTTCATCCCCCTAATTTTTTTTTTAATTTTTAGATATTTTTTAATTTTTTGATTTTTGATTCATCACACAAAAATACATACAACCCTAAATTTTCACCCTTCTACCACCCACCTCTACTTTTTAATGGCGGTACGAAGTTCGCTGGGACAGCTAGTATGTATATATATGTGGGGTTTATACGGGCGCGAACAATAATCAAGAGCGAACTATCCCAACTTCACTCGGAACACATGGAAGTGATTCTTCAACGAGACCATCTTAACGACACTGTCAACAGCTTTGACCAGCAGTTCAACACATATGAGAGGGCTCTTCAACGTATCACAGACCTAGAAAAGGAACTTATTGATGCAAATAACCAACTAGCCCATTATAAAGCACATTACATATTTGACATTATGTGATGGAAGTTGACATCAACACATGTTTGCAAGTTTGATGTCAACTTTCAATTGGACGACACTGTATGAAATAAAACAGGGAGAAAAAAGCAGCCCTTGCTGAGTTTCTTGCCGGTTCTTCTCAGTACAAGGTCTCCCGCCGTAGATTTGCGAACCGATGGCGTAGCTTTTCGTCATTCACAAGTGCTTGTAACAGCCTAGACTGAATAAACGATATTGAATTTTGAATTTTGAAATAACTTGCCTGCAATCAGTATCTGAGTGTGCGCGTTCGATGGGCCGCCGGCGACGCGTCGACCCGCGACTGCTGGCACCCCTCACCGACCGCCTGCAACACTCATCATCATAAATGTCCATCCGGCTATAAATGTCCCCACTGCTGAGGTACAGGCCTTAAGAATACGAATCTGTCAAAGTTTGTGCTTGGGGTACCTACTGGAAAGCTCTACGGGCGCCATTCAATTATTACTTAAGACCATTTTCGCTAGTTTTTGACCCCCCCATATTGTAAGAAAAAATAAGAATAGGCCGACCCCTCCCCCCTGTTTAATATTTATTACGTAAGAATCTTAAGGAAAGTTAATTATTTTTCAAAGTAATATAATAATAATAATAAATTTATTTGGAACAAGTGCAATGTATACATAAAATTATGAATCGTTAAAACTGCTTTAGTTTTACAAAAACTGTGTTGCAGAATTAACGCCCATTCCCGTATAATATGAAACAGTGTTCCTATCAATGTATCAAGTTATAGAAATGTTTATTTGTACTTACAAAGGTACTATAGAATAGAATAGAAATAAATTTATTAGCCTTACTTACTTACTTACTAATTATTTTAATCTTTTTGGCAGTAATAAACTTTTGTTTTAATCATTCGTCTATACCTTTGACAACTCTAGCGCTTAGATTAAAACAAAAAGGGTAGATACGGCACTAGCCTCACAAAAGTGATCCGCACCAATTGTGGTCCACGACCCTAATCGCTTTAGTCACAACTTGACATGCAAACGACGTACATGTGAACGCCAAAAAGAAATATTGATAATATTTTGTGTTTATATGATAAAACAATGCCTAAGTGTGTTTTTAAAAAGTGCTCAAATTGCTCAAGAACTAAAAATAAAACCCACGGCATCACTTTTCATTCGTAAGTACTATAAAATATAATTTTTCATTAAAATTGCTGTTTGTTTTGAATCTTATTCGGTAGTGACGTCGAGTACTGGTCGCGTGATTGGTCGGTAGTGCAGTGACGCGGATCTCGCCGTCTCGTTCGCGCTGCCGTTGAAACTTAACGTGCTGTTTCGTTCGGGTCGGTAATGCAGTGACGCGAATCTCGCCGTCCCGTTCGCGCTGCCGTGCGATCAGTTTTTGTTTGATGCAAGTATGAGCGTACCGTATCTACCCTTTTGTTTTAATCTAAGTTACCAATACGCATTTGAGCAAACCTCGGCACTCACGCGGCCGCCTGCGCTTTTTCAAAGTATAATTTTAACTTTACGCATTACTGTGATCTTAGGTAAAAACTGTCGAGACTCCCTCCCATCCCTTGTAAGAAAACATAAGACATTAGCGATTGTGCACTCGATATAACAATATTGCGTATATTCTGTGTTAAAGACAATCGATGCCTTCGATGCTTTTATAAAGAACACAAATAATTAAAAATCAAATAACAAATGCCTCGGCAACTGTTTTCATTCGTAAAACTGTAAAAACATTTTTCTCAAAACTCACGGTTTAATCGTGAATGTTATTTACGTAATCGCCATTTTGTTATCTAGAAAAGGACAACAATACAGTTTAGCCGTACGGACTCGGAAGAGGACTCGTCGTTTCGCTCGCACTGCGTTGTCGCGTACAGTTCTGTCTCGCTCGTTCAATTGAATGTTTATTTACTGAAGTGTGCGTGTATGAGAGTTGCTTATGTAGTTGAGTCGGATCATATTTTATTTGATGCTAGTATGAGCGTACTGTTATATGGAGCCTCGAGATTCTCTTTTTAAAAAAAGATTTATTTTAATTAAGAAGTAATTTATTTGGATGCGAGTTACAAGACGTGTGGCTGGGACGCGACTGACGAGCCACGCAGGGCTCGCACGGATGTGAGGCTGGATTGCTAGGTCAGCATGTCTAGCAGCCCTGTTAGCAATAACCCTTACAAATACCATATGTAACAGTGCGCTCGAGGAGCTCGGAGGAGAGAAGCTCGATGGCGCAGGCGGTTAGCGCGTTCGGCCGCGATGCTTGAAGTTAAGCAACTTTCGCAGTGGCCGGTCATTGGATGGGTGACCAAAACATCTATCTCGAGTTCTTCCGTGCTTCGGAAGGCAAGGCAAGTTAAGCCGTTGGTCCCGGCTGCATCTGCAGTCGTTAGCACCCGCCAATCCGCACTGGGCGCGCGTGGTGGGTCATGGCCCAATCTCCCTATTCCATCCATAGGGAAGGCCTGTGCCCCAGCAGTGGGGTCATTAATAGGCTGATGATGATGATGATAATATAACAGTACCATATCTTCCCTTTTTGTTTTAATCTAAAACCTACAGCCCAGAATAGTTACCTGGTGTTATATTGGTGATGTCGATGGCGTCGTTTCGGAGGTCTCGTGCACACGTAACAACACACCCTCCAATACAAAAACCTAAACAAAAAAATGGGTGCGTGTACTTATGTAGGCGCGTGAGAAGTTATCCTTCTTTGGCATCGTTTAAAATTAGTTTTTAATTGCATGCAAATAATTAATTACAATAAATTAACAAAAAGTCTGGAAAAGGACACAGTCAGTAAAGTTCAGTTTTAATTTGAAAAAATAAATAAATAATCAAAATATTCAATTAAAATCGCTACTGAATATAATTTATTAGAACATATGTGATTTGCACTTGTATGAAACTCAAACACGTATTCCGAATATACAAACTAGAAACATGTGGATAAATATTATAATTATGAATACCTATAACTGTTACTTTATTACAAAAAATAAAGATGTGGTTTTTGGTTCTACTACACCAATGGTCAAGAGATGGCGCTGTAGTCTCCTGAATCGCACTTTGGTTCCGTTATTCCAGATTATTAAATACTTTTGATAGGCCTTCACAATGCAGTCGTTAGCACCCACTAAATAGAGATTCTATTTCTATTTTGTTGGTAGATTGTCTTAATGTGCGGTAGACACACAGTGATGCGCGCGCATCTTAAAATTTCATTCTCATCATTTTTTCATAACGCGCCTAAAGAAGTATAACTTCAAAAATAACATAAAATTGTATTAAGTTACACTACAGAACACAGAAAGAGGTTTTTTTTTTTTTTTTTTTGTTTCCTCCCAGGCGGGGGAGAGGGTGAGAAATCCTCATGGATACCCTACAGCCGGCTGTAGGGTTATGTCAGACTCCTACTGACTAAAAAACACCCTTTATTCATGCTTATGGCCAGAAGGGCCTTACAAGCTTCATCTGAAGCGATCACCCCCCGAGAGGGGGATGATGCGGCGCTGCGTTAGTTTAAACTAGTGCATAGTTTAAAATAACGCAAAATGCGCTTAGAGGACAAGTGCACTCAGATGTGCACTTGAAGCGGGAGGGGACTGAGAGGGATCGAACCTCTCTGTGTCGGGGGGGCGGGGGGGACTCACCGCGGGTGTTGGATCCTCAGCGGCCAAGAGGGCCGCGAGATCGCGCGTGAGTTTATTGTGTGTGGCTGTGAGTGCGTGTTTGGGCCTGCGGGGCCTGAATCGAGATGGAGTGTGTGGAGCGTATCCCGACGCCGATCTAATGAGTGTGTTAGAGTGCTCTTCTGCAGCTTTGAAGAACCGTTCCGAGCACTCTGTGAGGTGTGTTTGAATTGTGTCGAGTTGAAGGTCCCTGTGGAGGTCCGCGTTGCGGACGTACCACGGGGCCCCTGTGGCTATGCGGCAGAAGCGATTTTGAAGCACTTGAAGTTTGTTCAAAATCGCTTCGTCCGCGTGTGCGAACACTGGTGACGCGTAAGTGAGGACCGGGCGTATGCAAACTTTGTAAAGCGTTCGCTTGTTACGAAGTGACATTTTGCTGTATTTACCGAGCATCGGGTGGAGGCGGCTCATATAAAAGCGCGCGTTCGCGACTACGCGTGTGATGTGTGCACGGAAGGTGAGTTTTTTGTCTAGTGTGATCCCTAGGTATTTGACTGTGCGGTGCCACGGTATTGCTATGCCTTGCATTCGCAGAGACCGCGCACCGTGTTGTATGGTTTTGGTGCGGCGCTTGGGATCGAAGCAAATGGCCGAACTTTTGTCCGGATTTACGTCGATTCTCCAATCGCGGAACCAATTCCCAAGTGTTGTGATTGCCGGTTGGAGCTTGGCTATGATTTGATTGGTACTGGCTCCCCTAGAGTAGAGGGCCGTGTCGTCCGCGAAGAGAGCGAGCTCGACACCCTTGGTCTGAGGGATGTCATTGGTGTACGCTGTGTATAGCAGGGGGGAGAGAGCGGACCCCTGCGGTACACCGGCTCGTAGTGGGCGGGGCGTTGATAGTGAACCTTCGTATCTATAGCGGAAGGTGCGGTTTGATAGAACAGAAAGAGGTTCGAAGGGTGAACATAAAGCGTTTCCACGGGGACCGACTCGCCCCCACTACACTTCCACCTATTAGATAGTAGCCAATCAAACGACGCGTCATCAAACATTTGGACCAATCAGCGCTCTCACCCGAGAGCAATGACGCAATCAGAACCAAGTTTTGGTCAAGTTATGAGCTTTTGTTCACACATAACTGTGCGCCTGCCCTGCCACAAGGCCTAGAAGGGCCTCAGTACTTTTCTCTATGAAGGGCCTTGATCTCTTTCTATGTTCTGTGAGTTACACTATGGTGGCAAATGAAATATAAGATTTTTCTTGATAATTATATTTTTTGTAGAAACTCAACAATATCGTTCGGTACAATATTATGCAGAATGAATAAATAATTAAGACAAAACGGTGCAGTTATAATAGGGATGATGACAAATTTTTTTTCTTCGGTTATCAGGTAGATTATCAAAATTAACATTGCAGAGATATATTGATTTGAAAAGTCGCATGACGTCACGTTTTAGTATACTTTTAAGTGAAAATTCACTAAAAAGTGACGTCACGAGCCCCTACTCCCAAACTTTGACGCGCTATAACTTTGTCATTTTTTGGTTGATTGCTCAAAGAAAAAATTCGTGTCCATTATTTTTTGATCATCTAACCGACGGACTAAATAGAATTTCGTTTACTGTACCCCGTCATCACCCCTATTGCTAAGATTGGTTTGCGTTTAGACGCCTGAACACAAATTCAATTTATTTATATGAATAGATACGTATTTAGGGATAACCCGTACGTACGGGTTTAACTGGAAATGTCCGGATGTAATAATTATAATTAATAATAATATATATTTTTATCATATAATATAATTTTATGTAGCAACGTATTGGATAAAATATTATCGTCATCGCTCGATTGTATATGTTTTTTCAATATCATTTTTACAATCGCAAATAATTGCATAGAATATTTGATTAGGCGTTTAGATAAACATTATTTTAATCCTAATATTTTCTGGGTTCAATTAGAGACAATAGTTTCTGTACCAATTATTTGGTATATTTTGTAGTAAGAGTTTAATTGTTGTGGTATTAATTGACAAATAAAATGATTAATGTTTTTTTTGCATTGTTGCGAAGAATATTTTTGTAGGCGCTTTTGATGAAGTTACCTACCTTTCTATCTAATCTCGGATTTAATAATTATAATTAATAGTATTATATTTTTTTAAATGTAATATTATTCTTTGTAGCAACGTATTTGTTTAAATATTATCGTTATCGCTCGATAGTATATGATTTCTCAATATCATTTTTACAATTGCAAATAATTGCATAGAATATTTGATTAGGCGTTTAGATAAACATTATTTTAATCCTAATATTTTCTGGGTTCAATTAGAGACAATAGCTTCTGTACCAATTATTTGGTATATTTTGTAGTAACAGTTTAATTGTTGTTGTATTAATTGACAAATAAAACGATTAATGTTTTTTTGCATTATAATTTTTATTATTTTAAAGCATGTAACTGCTTGATGTTTAAATCTAAAGAAAATATAACTAGAAAAAATTCCACGCGGACCAGGCAGCAGACGGGACTCGAACCCGCACCCTTCGCAATCCGGGCGAATGCACTGACCAATTATGCTGTCGCAGCCCTCACGGATCGCGTCGAAATTCCTCTAGCCATTCTTAAGCTGCAAGGCAATTCTCTTCGCATTATAGATAACCCACAATGTCTAATGAATACTTTTACAAGTATTAAACATTTGATAGAAGAAAGTCTCATGCTTTAAAAAAAAATTAAAAAAATATAACTAAAGTGATAAATGTTTTTTTTGCATTGTTGCGAAGAATATTTTAGTAGGCGCTTTTGATGAAGTTACCTACCTATTTATCTATTCTTTACCGAATTGATAAGCATGATATTTAAATAAGACGGTCGCTTGAAAGTACTCTAATTATAACAATTTGTAGACCGCACACTACTTCCGATATTTATTTTAAGAGTTTTACCTAAAAGATGAAGCCATGACATCACCAATGTTGGAGAGACAGAGAAGCATCAGGGGGATGCCCAGAATAGCATAGAAGATCGTCACCACCTTCCCTGTCTGCGTCTTGGGTGCGATGTGTCCATAACCTGGAACGATATAAAATGACAAAATTATCGCACGAGAAACCTGCAGGATCAGACTCTATTTCAACAAAAAATGAAAGTTCGATCGAAATTTCTCACGTTCCTTACTCTGTTTCCTTTTCATTTGGAAAATTCGTTCATCCAAAAATAGTTTGACAATAAAATTCTCCAAGCCTACTCTAATTCACAAAACTTTCGAAGAAAAAGTTGAATTTGACAGATAATTGTTCGAAATTTTAACCTCAAATTGACGAAATGAAAAGTGTTACCTTTTCATTTTCGTTTTGAAATTTTTGTTTTAATTAGGCCTTAAATGATTGCAAAAGTATTTTTAATCAAGGTTTCTTAGCTCGAGAAACATTTTTAGCATGTAAAATTAACAAATAAACCATTTATTTTATTATTTATTTTAATTTCGATACTTCAAAGTATTAAACGACAAATTTAGGTTGACATACAATAGATTGTATCAACTCTACAAATTAGTCGGATAACACTGTCAAAGAAGGTTCTTTCAATGTCATCAAAAAATTTGCCGTAAACTACCTATATTGTTTCTAAGTAAAACAACGTAATCTTAAAAGTGGAGATAAAAGAACTCACAAACATGACTCATTCCATTCGTTCATGAAAATTGTCTGTGATTCCGAACTTTATGTGCGTGTTCGAAAATGAAATAGAGTAGAGTCATTGGCGAAATTTCGTTTAAAATTCGTTCGATACCGAAATTTCGTTTCGGAGTAAGAGAGTGCTCTACTCTCTTACTCCGAAACGAAATTTCGGTCCTATCTAACGCGGAAAAATCCCTAAACGGGGATCCCGCGGCTTCGGACTAAACAGCTTAGAGGGTATTCGCAGGGTTTTTTAGTGAATATCATGCCGTAAAGAGCCCGTAAGAGTTACGGGGTCCACAGTGGACAGTCACTGCGGGGGCCCGTAAAGCTTGCGGGAGCCAGGTGTGAGGTCCGTTCGGCGGTGTGCCTCTTAGAGGCGCCATCGTCTGTGAACAAAGGTTTTGCCCGCGTTAACAAAAAATAAAGGATCAGGACCTATTTTATTTATTTATACTTAATGCACAAGTGTACAAAGGCGGACTTAATGCCATAGGTATTCTCTACCAGTCAACCATAGGGTGTTGTGGATAAATAGTGGTAGGGTGCACAACTTACATGGAAGTTGCAGAAAGAAGAACATATATAAATATGAAGCAGTCATATAGATAATCACACATACATAAATAATTACTTACATATAAAAAACTATACATATACATACATACATTTATAAATATACATACTAATACATAATAATGACGACTAACGTTTAAGCTAGACTGCTTGTTCCTGTAAAAAGCTTCGTTGTTTGGTTTTGAAGCTAATTTTGTTGGTGGACATTCTAATATCTAGGGGGAGTTCGTTCCACAGAAGTATAGTTTTGACGAAGATATATGACCTATCTCAGTGGATGATCGGTTCAGATGAAGCTTGTATGACCCTTCCGGCCATAAACATGAACTACATGTGTATTTTAGTCAGTAGGAGTCTGCCATAAGGGGCCATCCATAAATTACGTCAGACTTTAAGGGGTAGGGAGGGGGTCGACGAAATGTGACATCGTGTGACAAGGGGTGGGAGGGGTCCTAAATTTCGTGACGTCACATTTCAAAATATATTAAAATCTAAGTGTTGAAACTATTACTTTACGAAAGCATTAACAACCCAAACGAGAACAAAGTGGTGCTATGCCAGTTATAAATAATTTCAAGGAGTGGGATCAATGTCCATGGACTCAAGATTATTAAGTTTGTATCTTTAATTTAATTATAATGCTATTAATATTTTATGTTTTGTTAATTTCTTTAATTAACATAGTCAATCACTTTTTGTTCGGTAATTTCTTTAATAAATATAATTAATCGTTTTTTTTTTGTTTTGTTAATTGTTTGATTTGATTATAATAATAATGAAAAAACAATTTAAATGGAAATAAAACTGATTACAGAACCGCTGTTTTCATTCAATGATTTCTAAATGTAAATTTGCAAAATATGTGACGTCACACTAGGGAGGGGGGGAGTCTTACAAATGTGACCAGCTGTGACAAGGACGGGGGGAGGGGCAAAAAAGACATGAAATTCGTGTGACGTAATTTATGGATGACCCCTAACCTTGCAGCCGGCTGTAGGGTATCCGTGAGGATTTCACACCCGCTCCTTCGGCTGGGAGGAAACAAAAAAAAGCATGAGAAAAATCCATTCGGAAGTTCTGAAAGCGGTTTTTTTGCATTTTCTAAGAAAATCGAACGAACAAAAAGCACACCATCTTTTAAAAAAATCTTTTTGTGTTAGTTATTCCCGAAAAGCGGGATTGAGCCTGTCCCGCGCGGGAGGTTTAATTTTGATTTAAAAATCGGGACTTCCCGCCAAAATAGGGACGTCTGGCGACGCTGATCCGTCACACAAAGGGTTCCGTACCGTCATCTACAAACATCAGTCTAATATCGAACAAAAATCACGTCTGTTGTATGGGAGCCTTTTTTTTTTTTAATACGCAGGTAAAAAATCTATTTACAGACGACGGCGCCTTTAAGAGGCACACCGCCGAACGGACCTCACACCTGGCTCCCGCAAGTCTTACGAACCCCACAGTGGCTGCCCACCGAGGACCCCGCAACTCTTACGGGTGCTTTACGGCATAATATCCGCTAAAAAAGTCCTGCGAATACCCTCTAAGCTGCTTAGTGCGAAACCGCGGGATCCCCGTTTAGGGATTCTTCCGCGTCTCCGCACCCAGCAGCCTGCCGGCCTAGCCGGGGCTCCACGGCAGGGGTCTCCCGAGGTATTGCGGGGACCCCGCAGACGTGCGCGGGTAGGCCCGCGCGTGGGGGCAAAATACGCGGCCTAGTGCCCACCGTACCGCCCCCCGTCCGCTGCGGAGGGCTACTTGGGCGTGCCCGTGTAGCTCCCTCCGCCGCCCCCCTCTTTGCAGGACGGAACTACAAGATGGGGGCTGCCGTCAGGGGATCCCTCGGTGGCCGGCACGGCACAATGCATGGCCTCTACCATGCTCCGCAGCGAGAGGGTTCCGCCTCCCAGCGCCGCAATCAGGTCGCGGCGCTGCTGCCGCCAGGCCGAGCACTCCAGCAAGGTGTGCTCGGCCGTATCGTCCGGGGCGCCGCAGTGATGACACTGCGGCGTTTCCTCCCGACGTGCGACACGGTACAGGTAGTGACCGAAGCATCCGTGCCCGGTCAGTACCTGCACCATGCGGAACGAGAGGCCGCCGCGCCGGCGACCCACCCACTCCTCTGTTGTATGGGAGCCTAAAATATTTACTTCGTACAGAAATAAAAGTACATCATTTATTTATTTTATTTATTTATTCTTTATGCACAAATGTACAATGGCGGACTTAATGCCGTAGGCATTCTCTACCAGTCAACCATAGGATGTTGTGGATATTATTAGTGGTAGGGTGCACAACTGAAGTGGAAATCACATTGAAGTTTATAAAAATAATAAATATAAATAATAATATATAAACATACACATACATAAGTTAATATATTTACACAAAATATATATGTATAATAAATACACAAATACATACATATTTCCAAAATAAATACAAAATAATGACGACAAACCACTCAACGAAACGCCTGTTCTAATAAAAAGCTTCGCAGTTTGGTTTTAAAGGTATATTTACTGGGGGACATTCTGATATCTAGCGGGAGATCATTCCACAAAAGTATCGTTTTTTACGAAGAAGGAAGAGTGAATAATATCGGAGCAGTGTCTCGTCTGCTCACTGCGAAAACCAAATAAATGCACTTTTTTACGAAATTGAGTTATGAACACAGTTATACGTAACTTTTTGTGCTCTTTCTACTGGTAAAATCGGATAAATGATGAGTCATACGGTTGAAAAGATAGTTAGGATGAATACCTTATAAGTACGCACATTTTGGAAAAAATATAGGTTGTTTTATTTATTAACCTCATAGTAAAATGAAAACAAAGTCCTTTACATCTTAACTAAGAGAAAAAAATAACAAATTCTCTTCAAGCTAAAAGTGATAAATGACCAAAAAATGGCATTTATAGCTGTATGTCTAGCTTTACACAGTGTTAAAATACTAAAGTTACTCTCAAATATAAAACACGGCAGCATTAAGTTGAAATTAGACAATTAAGACGGTAAATTCCGAAGATACAATACAGTCCCTAATTTCAGGCAAAACCTGATAAATGCACACCCCCCTTTGTTAAAATTCAATTTAAAACAATTTTTACTATTACAGCACACAAAATTAAGGTCATATCTATAAAGAAGGGCATTTGTTTCAACTTTCTTCAACACAGATACACAGATACACAGACAGCCTGTGAAAGATTATTATATTACTTTAAGAGGAGCCCAAATGTTTAAAATCGATTTACTCAGAATGCCACATTCTGCACTTATTCGGTTTTCGCAGTAAGCAGACGATCTGATCAATCCATAAAATTAGATAAACCCTTTGCTCATAAAAACGAATTAAACAACTAAAAATGTACTCATAACAACTTTATTATGTGCCTATTAGCATAAAACAAACTGTGTTTAAAAATATCGTGCTCAGCCGTGTGAAAACTGGTTCACGGGTTCACGCTGCAAAACATTTTGACCTTGAAATAAACTTACATTTACATACTTGTGTAATGCAAGCAAGCAAGACGCAAGCGAACCGCTTCGGTCAGTAGCTCAACTGTTTCTGTGATGTAATGCCATAATAATGCATTGCGCTGTATTAGAAGGTTATTTTCAACAGTTTTTAACAAGCATCGGTGGTTCAGTGGTAGAATGCTCGCCTGCCACGCGGGCGGCCCGGGTTCGATTCCCGGCCGATGCAATATCTTTTTATTGTTATTTTTGTATTTTTTCTTTTTTTACACCTTTATTGTTATAATTATTTAATGTCTTACCGTGGTAATTCAAACTAAAAGCAAAATTTATTTTTACTTAAGACAAAGTTCAAGTG